TCTGACAGATCTCTTCAGTGCGAAAAGATTACCAGATGAATGGCCTGAGCAAGCCATACGAGCCTTTGAAACGCTCAAAGCTCGACTATCGAACGACGTTTTGTTGAATTACCCGGATTTTACGAAGCCTTTCGAAGTGATCTCAGATGCTTCACTGAATGGAACTGGCGCAGTACTCCTGCAAAACAACCGACCGGTTGCTTTTACAAGTAAGAAATTTTCCCCTGCTGAACGGAACTACAGCACGGGTGAACAGGAGCTACTTGGGGTAATCAACGCCTTGAGAGAATGGCGATGCTACTTACAAAGTTCCATACCTTTTAATCTCGTCACAGACCACCATCCACTGATATTTCTTAAGACTCAGTCGAACTTAAGCCACAGACAAGCCCGTTGGCTTGAGTTCCTGGCTCAATTTGATTTTGAGTGGATTTACCGACCAGGACGATTGAACGTGGTCGCCGACGCTTTTTGTCACGCCATCCCTCCTTGGCATCTCTAGTGGTATTCAATGCGGTTACCACACGTCGCCCTCAGGGACGTACGCTGGACCCACTCATCCAACGTATTGCCGATGCTACAAAGAGAGACGCTTATTTCCAGAACCCAGATCATACTCGTTTCTTTTTGACGAATCCTCTCGGATTCTTCCAGATAGAAAGGGGGGAGTGTGAGTACCGCATCGTGGTACCCAATGACCCCGCCTTGAAACGAGAGATTATTGAACGAAGCCACACGGATATCTTGTCAGGACACCCTGGACGAGATCGAACCATTGATTTAGTTGAACGAAATTTCTGGTGGCCTACGTTGAAAGCTGACGTCGCAGACTTTGTCGCATGTTGCGATCTTTGTCAACGGAATAAAGCTTCATCAGGCAAACCGCTAGGTCTATCTCGACCTCTGCCGATTCCTGAAAGACCCTGGAGCAGCGTCTCAGTGGACTTTGTACTCGGATTGCCCTCGACTAGAAAAGGTTACAACTCCCTTGTGGTATTTGTAGACCGACTGACTAAGATGGTGCATGTACGACCATGCAAGAAAGAAATAGACGCAGAAGAAACTGCAGATTTATTCTTTGACACCGTGGTACGGCTTCACGGTTTACCAGACACCATCGTCTCAGATCGTGACACCAAGTTTACTGGTGCTTTCTGGACCTCTCTCATGAAGAGGCTAGAAGTGAAGCAGGTGATGAGTACTGCTTTCCATCCTCAGACTGATGGTCAGACAGAACGAGTTAACCACGTCCTTGGAGACATGTTGAGGAACTACTGTGATCAGGAACCTTCACAGTGGGAGATATATCTCGGACCGGCCGAATTTGCGATTAATAACTCGAAGAATCGTTCGACAGGAGTTAGTCCATTCTTCCTGAATTATGGCTATCATCCTAAGACCCCTGTACAACTCGAACTCGGTGACACAGTTCCCTTTGCTAAAGGTTACGTTGACACGTATGCCAAGAGACTTGCTGCTGCTAAATCTGCTTTGATGACGGCGCAAGATCGAATGACTAAGCAAGAAAATAAAGGACGACGTGATGTGTCGTTTACGGAAGGACAACAAGTCTTACTCAGTACGAAGAACTTAACCCTCCAGAAAGGTTCGAAGAAACTGATGCCTAAATGGATTGGACCTTTCACGATTGAGAAGATGATCAATCCTGCTGCCGCTAGATTGACTCTTCCAGAGGAATATCGTTTCCATAACGTATTCCATGTATCGTTGATACGGCCTTATCGATCTGATTGCACCGTACAACCACCTCGACCTACAGTCGGAATTGAACCTGAAGGTTCTACCTCTGTATGGACACCTGAACGCATTCTAGATCATGATCAACGGAAACTCCGAAACCGTACCCTGACACGATATCTCGTGAAATGGGTTGGTCATGGACATGAGAATAACAGTTGGATTGAAGAACCTGCTTTCCCCGACAGATCCCTTATTGATGCCCATTGGACTGCGCGCCGCGTGGACGCAGGCGTCTAGAAAGGGGGGCAGATGTTGTAGCACCTTATAGCGTTACAGAACTTAATCACTGCGTGATTAAGGCACAACTTGATAAGACTGAGCTACAAACAGTCTACGAATATCTTAGAGTTCAGACGTGCTTCCTTACCAAGGAATGACACGCACTTGAGATACCTACAGACTCATTGGTTCGAGCAACCAATGTAGATCTGAAGAGACGTCGTACAATAGAAGTTGTTACGGCCTCCTAAGCAACGAGTATTTATACTCGGGAGGAAGCCTGGGATTAGACATCAATCTAACAACACACCAGTGGGAAGGATTCTAGAAGCTTACGCTTCTAACGCCCCTTACTGAGGAACGAACCCAGTCCTCGACGGAGCGAATCCGTCCTGTAACCTGTCGGCTCTCGCTGCTATCACGCGCTGACATACACCGTCCACCTCTCAAACACCCGAGAGGTCGGCAGGTGGATTTGAACCAGGGTCACCAGGGGACAGAAGCCAGGCCTTCATCTCTGCCAGCCACCTGCCTCCATGTATGTATGTAAAAGTATGGATGGATGGATGGATGTGACCACACGTGTGGTAATTTAACACGCAGCTGACTTGCCAGGAGGTCCACGACCCACGGATCAGTGACAACAGCGTGCTCTGGAGCCTCACGGCTCATGAGGGCACCCGCCGCATCGGCGGCGGAAATACTGTAGCCACAATACAATAAACGTCGTGAGCACGCGAAGGCAAAGTTATATATATGTACACTGTCGGCACCATCAACACCATTGCATTGCACCAGCCGCCGACTTCGCTCAAATCGCTGGATTCACTGACTTCAAGAGCGGCAATTACAAAGTGCCTATCCTTGTCTTCTGTATTATCTAATTCTTCTTCTAAATGTTTGGGGCATAGCGTCTGCGGAGTTTCTGAGCCGTTTGCTTTGGTCAAGAATGAACGAATGGCCCGTTGACCTAAGTTGAATGCAACAGCGGGCCGTCTCATGGTGATATCATCAAATATTTTATATATTGTAATGTTACAGAGTGGGAGGCTTCTGGGCCTCTTTATCACTTTGTCAGTTCTACGATTTTTCGTTGGGGGTGTCAAACCCTGCCCCTCAGCTCCGACCAACTAACAACCCCCCCGATGCGTGATGCCCCACTCTACTGCTGGTTACCAACAAACAGTGTGCCAAAGCCCACCATACAGCCTCGTGGTAATGCTCACCAGCAGCAGCCGGCAGCGAGCCTGCAGGGGGAGGGTAGCACAACGGATTTCAGCTTCAAGGTCAAGAACAAAGAAACCCAGCATGCTTTGAGAATATTCATCGGTCAGACGGGCAATCAGTTGCCATTGGAACCCGCGCAGCAGTGCCCACAGCGGCAGAGGTAGATCCCGGTGATGGCCAGCCTACTCTGCCGCGCTCTTCACGGTAGCTCAATATGTCCCTATGTGTACCAAACTAAGGACTCTTCATCCCAGCAACGCACCTTGGGCCTTCCGCCTCACGAAGGCGACAATTGCTGAATCGCCGTCTGTGTCCAGGATCCTCCACTGGCTCAGTTGGTCATCAGTTTGCTCCCCGATGAAGAACAGCAGGTCTCCTCGTTCTGGGCCGCTGACCACTCTTCGAACGGCGTCCTCAGCTGCCGTCCTGGATACCATTCCCGACCTTGCCGGAGCTCCAGGATAGGCGCAACGCGGAGCACGATATCGAGGCTATTGAATATTGCTTTCTAGTAGCACGCGCGTGGGTGAGGCGCAAAGATGTTTCAGCACAATGCGTTGACAGAAATAGCAGGCGCGGGCTAGCTATTTTTAATATATGGTCGTTATATGTATGGCTCTTCACGCTTCCAATGTCCTGGATTGGTCGGCGTCGAGATAAGTGCACATCGGGATCAATATGTATGGCGCACCCCCGCGGGTGCATGGCGCACCCCCGCGCGGACTCCCGGAGACGGTGCGAAGCCTCCCTGGAGTCCGCCAACGGAATCGCCCAGCGCGACGCTTCTCGCTGCAACAGTAATTTCAATCAATAGCTTTACATTCGCTGATCAGGAAAAGCGGTTCTTCTTGATCATGGCGGTTCTGCTTGATCATTCTTTGCAATTTTAAAAGCTCCATACATCGCAGGCAAACGGATTGTTTGAATAAATAATTTTAGCTGAACTCAGGTCGCAGGTCGGGAAAGCCTCGCGCTGGGCGATTCCGTTGGCGGACTCCAGGGAGGCTTCGCACCGTCTTCGGGAGTCCGCGCGGGGGTGCATGGCTTTTCATGCTTCCAATGTCATGGATTGGTCGGCGTCGAGACAAGTGGGCTCCTAAAGGAAGTCAATACAACACGTTGAATTTGTAGGAAATGCGGCGCGGCAAAATCCTTCCATATGGTCGCGTGTCCAGCCCCTGCCTCGCGCTCTCCCCGCTCACTCCCCGGTGCCCCCTCGAAACGCCATGCCAAAGCTCTTCACCCGGCCCTGCGCTGTGATCCAGGAGCTGAGCTATAGTAGGACTTAAGGACACTTGATGCTTATCCGAGGTTTCCTTGGAGTTCCTCTACAGGTGTTAGGATAGTGCCCACATGGCAGGCGGCTCTGCCACAGGGAAGCTCATTCCTTCGTCTTTCCCGCCACCCCATCCCCCTCCCCCTGCCGAGGGGCCACCCGCACGCAGGAGGGCCAGACTGCGCTCCACCTTGCCGCAGCCAAGGGGTTCGACGTGGTGGTCAGGGAGCTGCTGGTGCGACGTGCCAAAACAACACTGCAGGACAAGGTGGGTGAGCACGCACACGTGTGTATCTGTGGGCTCAGGGTCTCTGTCTGTGTATGTATGTATGTGTGTGTGTGTCTCTGCGCGCCGCGGCGTGTGCTCTCCCCCTGTTGTACTAACCCTAATGGAAATTACCGGCCTGGGGCTTTTGGCCGTTGCCGCGCTACAAATAGTCTGCTGCAGAATTCTCGGTGCAATGCACTGCAAACAATTTTGCCTCGCGCATCGGGGGGATATAGGTTTGTCGGTTGAAAAACAAGTCGTTTGATGTCGACGGCTTTTTCACTCACGCGGCGTCTTTGACTATAAAAATGGCCATTGGATGTTGTACTCGCCTGAGGAAAAGGACCAGCGGTTTGCGAAGAGCGCGATGGGGTGTGGTTTTGCAATAATTGTGATTTTTGAGTTGGTGTGTTGTGTAGCGCACCTTTTCCTGCACTACGTCAGCTCGCGCTTCTCATAGGCGAAGTGATTGGTCTATGAGAGGTGTTTCGAGGGTGCATAGCCTTTTCTATCAAATCAACATTGGGATTTTGCCTTGCTGGGCGAACGAGAGAAAACGTGTGCTCGTGTGCATTGCATTTTGCGTTGGGCTGCGCTTACGCTTTCAATAATTTTGTTTGTTTTTTGCCGCTTTTTGCTGACATTATAAATGGCCGAAGCTTTAAGTCGCTAGCGTATTCCTGCGTGTGCGGGATTGTCCCGCGGTCGCCCGATAACGACCATAACCACCATGATGGTAAAAAATGTTGCATCACTTTGAGCTCTGTATAGCACAGCTCTCTTTGCTCCCCATCGGATCTCGGATAGGCTTCTCATTAGGAGTCGTAGAAGCACCACGACCCGAACACGTACCAACCCTGCTCAAATCCTTCCGCTCTAAATCTTTAGCAGCGTATAACCGGTTATAGACACATTGTACCGCTTCATTTCGCAAACCAAACCATGTTTAAACTCTTAGCCAGCGTTGGTGTGCGTGTAATGCGCAGTCGGAAAGTCGGTGAGCCGTCAGCATGGGTAGTTCGGACGCTTTCATCAAGGGCTCGAACGGCGTCCTCTGCACTACTGGATCATATCAAAACAAAAATTCTGGTATGCATTATGTCTTCTGCACACATCAGCTGTGCCTCAAGCACGACCGGTTACATGATTGTTTGTGCTTGTCTTGGCTCAGATGCGTGGCGGGCCTTTGTCGATAGCGGAGTATATGCAGGTAAAACATATGGAATGAGCAATACCTCGGAAGTGCAACGCTTCCTTGACCTAACCCCTTCGCTAACGTACCATCCATATCCATCCACCCGTCCACCCACCAAACTCAACAACTTGTTCTTCATCATGTTCGTCGCCCTCCGCCTTGGCCCTCCTCGGGGCACCTAACAGTGCTCTTTACGGCACCCACCATCCCTAGCAACAAAACCCATCTCCACCAACAGCAGCCACAGCAGCCGCGCTACTAGGGCCGTCCACGAGCTCTCGGCTACCCCGGTCCTCGTCACTATCTCCCACTTCCTCACCCACCTCTCTCCTCGCCCTCCTCCTCCCACGCTTCTTCTTTCCACCACCACCCCCTCCCCCCTCCCCCGTAGGACTGCCTTACCAGCCCCCATGGCGGGTTCTACATGACACGTGACGTGTTTGGAAGCTCCGGGGACTTTGTGACATCGCCGGAGATATCCCAATTGTTTGGGGAGGTGTGTGTGTGGGGGGGGGATTGGGGACCGGGCCGGGCCAAGGGGGGAGCGGTGGGGCCTTATGGGGAAATGCAGTCCAGTGCAGCGAGGAATCATTTGCATAAATGTGGGAGGGGGCCGGGGCCCCGGGGGCCTTCAATTTTAAGCGGTGGGTGGGTGGGTGGGTGGGTGGGTGGGCTTCGGCCAGGAGAGGGGAGGTAACGCAGAGGTGCGTTTGAATGTCCGTTTGTATGTATGTATGTAAGCATCTCCCCCTACATCTCCCCCCCCATCCCCCCGGCCCCCCGCACGCAAGCAGATGGTTGGGGTGTGGTGCGTCCACACCTGGCTATCGCTGGGCCGCCCTCCCAGGCTGCTGCTGGTGGAGCTCGGTCCGGGAAGGGGAACCCTCATGGCGGATTTGCTTAGGGGCACGGCGGGTAAGAGCGTGTGTGTATGTGTGTGTATGTGTGGTCTTGGTAATGTCTCCCTCCGCCACCTTCAGCTGTATCATTAAAGACCTAATACATGCTCTATCTCAAAAAGTTTATTTAAATTTTTGAGACATAGGATGTATTAGGTTTCATGCTCTCCTCTTTCCAAACCTGCCCCTCCTTATCCCCCTTCCGTTCCCCTCTCTTTCCCTCGCCCTCTTCCCCCCTCCCCCCTTCCCCCATCGGGCTGCGTGTTTCAGCCTTCCGGGAGTTCTCCGCATCCCTGGAGCTTCATCTGGTTGAAATCAGCCCCGCACTGAGGGCCGTACAGTGGGCCGCACTAAGGTGTACGAACAACAGCAGTAGCAGCGGTGGCAGTGACAGCAGTGGCCGAGGCAGTAGCAACAGCAATTCGCAGTACGGAGATCTACAAAGGACCAGCATGACGCCGTACCTCCGAGAGGAAACCGCCACCGCCGCCGTGGAAGGTCCTGCAGGCGCACCAGGGCCGCCGCCGCCGCCGTCGCCGCCTTCCCTTTTAGCTGTCGACGTGGCTGCTACTGCCGACGGCGTGTATACGACACCAGATCGGGGGATATCGGGCTTTAGCCGCTGCCAGGTGGGGGTCTGTGGGGGTGCAGGGGTGTGCGTGCGGGGAGGGCGTGTGAAAGGTACATTAGGGTTTTAGGGTTTTACTGTGCAGCAGGTTTTAGGGTTTTTTAGCATGCCAAGGTCTAAAACCCTAAGCACTTCTCCGGAAGCGGGGAGCTCGGCGAAAGCTCAAGGGGGCCTGTTGCGGGATTCGCAGCCCGCGGGTGGATGTGAGCGGACCCCTCATCCCTTAGGTGCGGCAGGACGCGGGAGGAGGGAGGAGGAGGAGGAGCACAGGAGGACGAGGAGGAGAAATATGGTGGGGGAGGGACGATTGGAGGGTTCCCGCTTTTTTTGAATTTTAAGGCTTTTTTTGAGGGTTTTATTTGGTTGCTCGTACGTGTTTTTTCGTCATCCCTACCACGCACGGGGTTTCCACACCGTGTGTGTGTTTTGTTGTCCTCCGGGACTCGCGTCGGCATCGTGTGTTACTACACACATACACACATGCGCACATACATACAGAGTACACACATTCGACCGGACGCAGGTCTCCTGGCACACCTCGCTAGATGCCGTACCCGACGGCCCCGCGCCAGCGCTGTACATCGCGCATGAGTTCTTCGACGCGTTGCCCGTACATCAGTTCGTACGAGACCCCAAGCGGGGCTGGCTGGAGAAGATGGTAGACGTACGGACGTACGACGAAAACGACATGAACACCGACGGAAATGACAATGGCAGCGGCAGCACCGCCGGGCACGTGAATCCGGATCCGGATTCTAATTCGCAACCGTCATCTGGATCTGGGCACCTGAGGCCAACCACCTCAACCACCACCACCACCTCCATCACCTCCACAATATTGTCAACCTCGACTTCATCCGCAAGTCCTTCACTCTCCTCGTCCTCCACCTCCTCCACCTCAACATCACCACCATCACCCCCATCACCATCGGAAGGGCAACCCGGAGATTACCCGGGCGACGCTGGGGGGAGCAGCGGCGGTGGCGGCGGCGATGGCGGTGGCGGCGGACGCGGCGGCGATGCGTACGGCAGTGGTTTGCGGATGGTTTTGTCCCCCGGACCCACCCCGGCATCCGCCTTGCTGGTGCCCCGGCGACTTGGCGGCTTGGCCCCGGGCTCTGCGGGGGAGTTGGGGGCGCTGGAGGTGGGGGGGTTAGCTGCCTACCTGGCTGCCGGCCTAGACAGGCGCCGAGTAGGAGTTGGGGGATTTCCAGGGCTACATTGTATCGTTGATAAAGTTGTCTATTAGCCTTCTTGTCTATTGGCCTTCTTGTCTATTTGCCTTTTTGTCTATTTGCCTTTTTGTCGTAAGTTGATGTTGGTGGTGCTGGTGCTGGTGCTGGTGTCAAGGTATCAAAGTAGATCTCGCACCATTTGCGTTTCTTCCTGTCATCTCGTCCACTTCGTGTACGGCCGTTTCTGTTTCCTCTGCCCCCGTCATTCCAAACTCTGCCTATGGTGCCGTCTTTCCTTTTCATGTTCCCGCCGCCACCGACCCGTCTTCCCAACCGGCGGCTATTTCTTATCTTTCCAAATTGCAAGCGCTGTTGGTTGCGGTTGTGATTCCCCGTACAGCCCCACCTCCACCACCAACTTAACACCCCGACCCTTACGCTCCTCTCCCCTTCTCGCCCCCCGCAACCCCTCGTGGTTCGTCTTTCCCCCCTCAAACCCCCCCTTTCCCTCCCCGCTCTCCCCCTCCCCCCCTTCTACACATACACACACACACACACACACACACACGCACCGGTCGGTGGACAGGTCTCGGCAGTAGGTATGGCCGTTGCAGAGAAGCTAGCCCAGCGGATTGTACGACACGGGGGGGCTGCGCTCGTGGTGGATTACGGCAGGGAGGAACCGCCGTACGGTGACTCGCTGATGGCCATCCGCGGCCACCGAGGCGTGGGGGTAAGGGGGGGGTCGCGCGCTCGTGTGTGTGTATGTATATGTATGTATGTGTATGTGTGTGTTTGTGTGTTTTTTAAGGGAGAGAAATGAAATGAGCAACCTGGGCAGGATGTTTGTTTGGGGGGTTGGGAAGGGGGGATTGAGGCGTGTGTATGCAAGTGCCATGGCTGTATTGTACTGCGCAGCAGTGAAAAATACACTGTTACTTGTCACTGTCCCTTCAGTGCTGTCGGATCGAATGGTAGTGGTTGGTTGGTTGTGGTGGTTGGTTGTGGTGGTTGGTTAGTCCTTTTCCTGGACGTATTGGTCCTTCTTGGTCCACGCCGCGAACGATTGTACGACAGGGCGTTGTCATCATCTATGCCGTACTGGGTACTGCCGTACTGCAGATCCTGGACGCCCCTGGCTCCGCGGATCTGAGCGCCTGGGTGGACTTCGGCGCGCTGAAGCTGGCGGTGGACGGGGCAGCTGCGGCAGCCGCCGCCAGGCAGCCGCCGCAGCCGCCATCACCGGCGGCTGTGGCGCCGCCAGCGGCCTCCGTCACCACATCCGGGCCCGTGTCCCAGTCGTCCTTTCTGCGCGCCCTGGGCATTGAGATGCGGTTGCAGTGGCTGATGCGAGGGGCGACGGACCCGGGGGCGGCGGAGTCGCTGGCGGCGGGTTGCGCGCGGCTGCTGGGTAGCACCGAGTCGGGCGGCATGGGGGAGTCGTACAAAGTCATGGCCATACACCGTGGAGATCTGAGGGACCTGGCGGGCTTTTGACACGGACTCCTATAAATGCAGACTTAGATACATACACACACACCTAGTCTGTACGGCACCCCCCTAGGACCTAATCCTCCTCCTCCTCCTCACAGCTCACTTTTTAGCTTCTTGCCCTGTCAGCATCCAACACGACGCACGACGGGTGTGGTGAGTAGGGTTGGGCATGACATTAGAATTTTTTCCGTTCTAATCTAATTTCTAATTAGATTCTAATTAGAAATTAGGATCTAATATTAGAAGACGCTCGACAACTTTTCAGGGAGGGGTCCGTTGAACCTGAAATTTTGTATAGGCCATCACAGATGTAAACGCACGCATTTCCAATTAAATTTACTCCGGTCGGGTGCCTGGGGAGGGTACCTACCAGCCAAACCCACGCCAGACTTGCTACGGAAACAACCAAGAACGCCGCCAAACCTGTCCTTTTAAGTCCCTACTTGCACAGAATCACCACATAACTGCCGGGGGAGTGTTTGCTCGCTAAGGGGAATGCAAAAACACAGAGAGGAAGGGCTAATCTGGTGCCTGCTAGCCAAACCCACGCCAGACCGCTGTGGAAACAACCAAGAACGCCGCCAAACGTGTCCATTTACGTCCCTATTTGCACAAAATCACCACATTCTTTGCGGAGATCAGAGCTTCTGCATACGCTTTTGCATCAAGTTCCTTGTTGCCATACTTGTACATTGGCCCTGATGCTTCCGCCTTCCGATGAGGAAGGGGTGGCTTTGATGGCACCGCACCTCTATCTGACATTTTCGTGTAAAATGCACGCAGTGAACCGCTGATGCGCCTTAAAGCTACGGCTTTCCGGCCGTTCTAATGTCCGTACGACATTAGGATGTTCTAATACGTTCTAAACGGGGTCTTCTAAAATTCTAATTAGTTTCTAATTATATTTATTCTAATATTAGTTCTAATGTTCTAATGCCGGCACAACCCTAGTGGTGAGTGGTCGGGCTTTTTCGATCGTCTCTGGGTCCTTCATGGCTCGTACGGCATGCGGTACGGCATGGAATGCTGCTGTGGCTTTGTAATTTTAACTGGTTTGTGGCGGTTGTAGTGGTTGTAGTTGGGAGTTGGGGTCGGGGGTTGCAGCTAGGTGCCGGCGGATGTATGATGAACCTCCGGGTCATGAAACCCGAGGCTACATCACACCACATGCCCGGCAACACACAGTCGCAGTACGACTGCCCTCTGTGGGTTTGTGTCGGCAGCTGTATGTACGTCTCAGGTTTCCGGGCGGCAGCGGCGCTCCTTGTCGTACATTGGGATTCAGTTGGACGGAGGCTCCTCCAGCGTTTTCGCGGACGCTTCTTGAGGATGTGGTACGGAAACGTACTTTTGTAAAAGGAGAACACGTCGTCGGCTTTGTGTGTCACGGATTGCCCTAATCAGCCGACGCCGCAAAATACAGCTCTGTTGTTGCGGCGCGTGCAAGTGGATTGGCGTCCTGGGGTGGCGTTTGGTTTTAAACACGATCAGCCGCCGGGTGGCCACACTGGCAGGATGTGGGGGACTTGGTGCGGTTGTTGGTTGGACCTCCATATCCATAGAGTGGGAGGAGACACCTGAGACGATGGACAACGCTGACTGGACAAGCAGCTTGCCTCTCCTTAAAATGCTTCTCATTGGCCATTAACCACATAGGTTGCGCTGACGCTTGAACATTTCATTAGTCCTCCTACCCTCATGCAACATGCCGATAGGAGCGACTCATTCACACAGCGCAACACTACACCAGACCGCTGGGGCCATATTCACATGGCATATTCAAAAGGAATGGGCGCTAGCCAGCATTTTCCCGTGTAGCTCATCCTACCGTAGATTTTGCTTACAAGGCCTGTTTGAAATACTTTGAATACGGTCTTTCCTCTGGGGCTTGGCGCCGGAAGTGGTCGGCCAGGACGTGTAGTCCCAGCTACGGTGCAACGGATGTCAACATTGAAAGATCTATATACATTTGGTTTCAAATTTGGAATTGGATTCAAAGGTGTAGCGAAGCTAGGCTTCGATGGCCTGGAAGTTACCCGTAGTACGAACGATGGCAGGATTCCGAAGATCAGACACCCGGTATAGATTGGGTGCAGTTAAATATGTTATTAATGCAAAGATGTCAAGCTAGCGTTTGCTGAGATAATGTATTAGCCAGGTTTATCTATGGTGGCAATTGCCAGTCGCAACCGCGAACCAGGCTTCCGGATTTCGTGCTTCCTGTTTCCAAATAATGAGTATCGCACAATAGCTGTCTGGCGACAACTTCATTAAACGTGCCATGTTCAAAGTAATGTGATTTCATCTCTGCTTGCCTAGGGAGCCATCGTTAGGCGGCTTACGAAAGCACACACTTCGATCAGTTGTTATCCCAGACGACTTTTACAAATGACCGAAGCTATCAATGTCGCGACGCCCGCATCAAGGCTGCGGATTAAGGGCAAATGGCAGAGCGTTGTCCGGTTTTTCTCCATATCGGCGAGTGGTCGTTCCTTCATGCCTGGCCCTCCTGTCCTGAATAACTTCTGCACGTCTCTGGAAATATTACCTTTCCCTACTCTGCTCTCATCCCACGCTTTTAAGCGGCATAAGCCAGCGACATACCCCACGACCCGCGCTCCAATCTTCTTGCCACTTATGCACGGGGAGGTCGTCCAGGGAACAGCCATCAATCTTAATACTTCACATCGACAACGTTGCATCCCACACCGGTGTCGGCACTCTTGGGCCACTCCCGCCGCCCTAGATAACCACCTACCACGGTAAATGCAGACCCTCAATTGCACCCACCATCATTCCATCTCCTTCCTTGGACCCCCAGGTCGCCTTCATGGTTCTGTGGATCCAGGTCACCTCGCAGCTGGGACATTACAGCAAACTCTTTGGACCTCAAGTAAGTTGCAGCAGTAGCGGTATGTCACACATCATACCTCCTCCCCTTTCCCCCGCCACAACGCAGGTAGACATCATCTTCCACATCTGTGATCCCCCGCGAACACATACACACACACACACACACACGCCCGCCCCTCTTTCCCAGCATGTTCAGCATACCTCCCTCTCCTCATCCCCACGACCCTCTGAGAAACCCCTCCCCTCCCCTTCTACTTCTACCTCTTCCCCCCCGTCAATATCCCCCTCGCCCCCCAGATCCTTCTCCAGCTGAACCTCGCCTTCTACCTGCCCTCCATCCCCATCCTGCTCCTTAGCGGCTCCCTGGAGCGATCCCTGGACGCCCGCGTAGGGCCCATCGGGTCCATCGCTCTCCGCCTCCACGCGGGGCTAGCTGCCTGCCTGGCCCTGGCGGCATTGTTCCCGCTACTGCCGGGGTTCCGTCCGGGGACCGGAGCCCTGTGGCCGCTGCTGACGGCAGTAGCGGCGCTAGGAGGCGCGTCGGCCGTGGCATTCAGTACGTCGTACCAGCTTGTACAGTACTTTAGGTGGGATGAGCATGAGTTGTCCCCGTCGGGATTGTGTTTTGTGTGCGTATGTCGGTGCCCCTCTGTTTGTAGAATGGGCGAGAGTGTAGCGGTTGACCGTTGACGGTTGAGCTGTTGTCTAAGAAAACGGTGATTTTGCTTTTCGCACCCATCTGCTCGGTTGGGGTATATTATTCAATGCTCTTCTCCCCTCTCCCTGTGTGTTTTGCCTTCCCCCTCCTTTCCCCCCGAAACCCAACTCCCCCACAACACAAACGCGCACCACGTCGGCAATTTTTATAGAGCTGCTGACACCATTGGCCTGGGAGTGGGATGTGTGGGCGCGGGCCCGCTCATGCTGCTCGTGCAGCTGGCGCTCCAGGTGGGGCCCTCGCCCGCCTGGTGGCAGTGGATCTCAATGTACGAAATCTGCGCCGGCTTCATATTGGCGGGCCTTCTGTCCTCGTCTTCGCTGTGCGTGCAATACTGGTCAAAGCTAACCGGCGCCGCCACGGCCGCCGACGGCGGCGCCGCCACCGCCGCCGACGGTGACGACAGCCGCGTGCCATTACTTGCAGCAGCGGCGGCGGCGTACGACGATTGCGTCACGGCTGGCGCAGCGGCGGCGGACGGCGACGTGGAAGCCGCCGCCAACGCAGCCTCACCGCCGCGCTTGAGGCTGCTGATAGGCGCGGGAAGTGGCAGCGGCGGGTACGGCAGTCCTGGCTCGCCGTACAATGGGCACTTGCTTAGGCGGTTCGGCTCCGTCACCACCGCCAACGCTGCCGTGAACTCCAGGTTGTCGTACCGTGTGCAGTCGTACAGGTCCCCTGGTGTCTACCGTCGAGGGCCTACGACGGCTCCGGACCCCTTCAACGTTTTCAGTTTGTTGACACCTCGTAGGTCGGGACCTGACGGTTGGGTCGGTTGCTGATTGCGGTTATGGCGGTTGAGATAGTCGTTATGTACTCGTTTTGTTATCGTGAGAAGGCCCCATGTGTTTCGGTTTATGGGGAGGGGAAAGGCCGAGGGGGGTTGGGGAAATGCTCGGTTTGGGGACAGGGGGGAGATCCTGTGGGCCGTGCTGTGTATTGTGCGGCTTCCCCCCCCCTTCCATTCACTCCGCTCTTCCCCCTCGCTCCTTCCCTTCCCTCATCTCTTTGCAGCCCTTCCTTAGAACTTCCGAACATTACTTTGATCAAGTTGGCAATTCACCAACCAACTAACTAACCGTTCGTACTTTCTCGCTATGAAGTTGTTCGGTCGCATACACTTATCTGTGTGCCTTTCCGGTGGTGGCAGCGTCCCGTGGTGGCAGCGAGGTCGTACGTTTGTCCCGAAGTTCCCGGTCCCCGGGGGAGGGTAGAAGGGATGGGGATTGGGGGGGACGCGTGTGTGTTTTGGGATCCGTGCGTGTGCGTGCGTATGTATCTATGTGCGAATGTATGTGTGTATATATGTTTTGGCTTCTGTTTCCAGGTCTGGATGGCGGTTTTGAGTGGGATGACGACGACGATGACGACTCGGCGCCGCCGGTGCTCTTCCGCCGATCCGCATCCGCGGGCGTGGTCGACAGCAGCGGCGGCAGTACCCGGTCCGCGGCGGCGGCGCGGCGGCGGCGGGAGGCGCTGGCGGCGGTGGCGGCGGCGGGGGGATGGAGCAGGTAGGGCAGGGAGGCTGGGATGCTGTACCAGCGAAGTGGTGGATATGACGTATTTCCTGCGGGTGGGGAGTGACTGGTGATCAAATTTGCTACGGAACGTGACCTGCGGAGTGGCGCGGGTGAAACAGCGAAGCGTCTATCTACGTATGTATGGTATACAACCCTGATCTTTCCTGATCTCGACACCATGATCTCCAACACACGCAGCACGAACCCCTTTTAGGAACCGTATCGGGACATCACCCTACATCAAGCCCAGCTCGCCGCCGTGTACCCCTACGCGCACGACGACGGTGACGGCGACGGCGGCTGCGTCGCCGGGCCGTGGCGGCGGTGGCGCCGCTGCCGCCGACAGCTCCCCAATCACCCCCCGGCCGCGCGGTCTCATTGGGATGGCCTCGGCGCCGGCGACAATGGTTTGGCGCCCCGGCGGCGGCGCGCACGGCGACGGCGGCGGCGGGGAACCCGTGGTGAGTACGGGCGACGATGGCGCCGCAGCCACCGCCTCCGGCGGCGGCGGCCGCGTCCGCGGCGTTTTGGAGTTTGGGATCCCTGACGAGGAGCCCCTTGCCGTACAGCAGAGCTCCAGCACAGCCGCTGCCGTAGAACAAGAGCCGGAGGGTCAGCTCAAAATCCAGCAGTTGTACGGCACCAGGGTGAGTTCCTTCGCATCACAAGAGGCTTCGGAGCAGCTCGCCAAGGCGCTGCAGATACAGAATGGGTGTACGGCGGCGCAGGCGGAGGGCGCTGGCGGGGGCGCCGCCGCTAACGAGAAGGATAAATTGCCGCCACCGGAGGGCTCGGGGGGATTAGCGTCGGCGGAGGCGCCGCCGCCGCTGCCGGCGGCTGCGGTAGCTGTGGCGTTATCGCCACCGCCGCTGACGCTGAGACAGGAGGTAGTGGAGGTTGTGCGAGGTACGGCAATGGCTCAAACTGCGTAGCCGTATGTGCTTATGTATGTATGCATGTATGTATGTATTGCACATTTCGTGCTATTTCCCCAAATACCTCCCCCCTCCAAATACCCCCGGCCGGTCGAGTATCCCCCCTTCGCATCACGAATGATTCTTGTCCAGGGAGGGCAATTCCCCTTAGAAACCTTAATATGATCATTTAAATTGTTTATTTTCATTCAGGTCTGTAAGAACCCTAATTGTTACTTAATACAGGAGTAAAAGAATCGACGCTAGATTTAATTCCCCGTCTTCACCTAGAACCCCCACCCTCCCCCAAACCCCCCGACCCCACGCCCACGCAGCCTCGTGGCAAGTCATGCTGGGTTTCACACTGGATGTGACGCTGCTGTACATCGTGTTCCCCTTCTTCACCTACGTGCCGGCCTCGGGGTGGTTGGGGGATAACCTGCCCCAGGTGTGTGTATAGGAACCTGGGGGGTGGGGGGGGATGAGGGGGGCCTGGGGGGCAGATGCCGAGGGTTGGGGGGGAGGATACGGGCATTGGGGCCGCATCATTGAGCGCGAAATTTTCATTTATTTTTTTGACCTCTTGCGTCCTTTTGAGCGTCTTGGACTATCCGGTCGTACTTTGGCGTCACATTCCGCAGTGGAGATTTTTTTTTTAAAGTATGAAAATACGAACCCTGGAACTGGTAATTCCGCAGGATGCGACGGGTGTGCGAGTCCGTATGATTCCGCAGCACAACATTAACTTCCCTCCACCTACAGCGATATCTTGACGACCATATCTAACATCCCCTTACCCTTACCCCCCCCCCCACACACACACACACGGGGTGTATGTCTCTCTCCCACCCCCTCCACCTGCCCTACCTCCCCTTCCTCCCTCCCCTTTCCCCGCTCCCCCGCCCCACTCCACGCGCACATCTCAACCCGGCTCAGGTTCTCTTCTACTCGCGGCTCTTCACCGACTTTGCCGGGAGACTGCTACCAAGATGCCGGGCCCTGCAAATTCGCTCCGGAACTGCCGTACTGCTGATGTCCGCCGTGGCAATGTGCGTTGCGGCGCTGTTCTTATTGTACATCCTCGCGCCCCCCCGGCTGGTGGCCAAAGCGCCGGGTTTGCTGCGTAACGATGTCGTACCTCTGGCATTGGTCGTGTTTCTGTGGATCACTGGTGGGTGGGTAGACGAAGGGCTGGTTGAGGGTTATGTATGTATGTGTGTATGTATGCATGCAGTGCACACAATGATGTATCAGTCTGCATTCCCCCCTTCCCTCCCTCCTACCTCCCCTGCACCTCCGCCCTTCAGCGCTTGCAGACTTCGATTTTCATTTTCCTTGTTGCGGTAGTTTCTTTTCACTTTTTCACTTGTATTTACACTTTCGTTCCCCGTGTTTACTTTCTTCTGTTTACTTTCTTTTCATCTTCATTTCCTAGTTTCTTGAACATACCTACCCCCCTCTCGGCCCCTTCTCCCCCCCACCCCCCACCCCCCACCCCCAGGCGGCTACATCAACACCATGAGCAACATGTTAGCGCCCTCCCAGGCCCCGCCCCACCTAGCAGGCAGAGCCTCCGCGATGATGGCCCTGCTCTTCAACGTGGCGCACATCGGGGGCCTTATCATTGCGGCGGGCATGGCGGCATTCATCTTTGGAGACGTTGTGGGATGATAGGGTTTTGGCTGGAGCTATATTTGGGTTCTACTGACAGATGCCGTACACATGTCTGTATGTGTGTCTGTCGCGGGTAGTTTTCGTTCAGTGACTTCCATCGCTGTTTGTTGTTTTTGTGGACTGGGAGGAGGCGGAGGAGGGGGAGGGGGGTCACCGGGACAGACGGCGGGGCGTGATAAGTTACGCACGGTGGTTGGTGGTGGTGGTGGTGGTGGTGGTGGTGGATCGGAGGGCGGTGAGTCGACCTCACCTAGACGATCTCTAGGGGGAGGAGGGCGAGGGCGAGGGGATGGGGATGGGGGCGATCCATTATTTGGATAGCTAGTTTTCGAGTTCGAGCTGCAAGGGTGTGTGTGTATATGGGGGGTTGATAATGTGAGTGTCACTACCCCGTGTATGCGGTACTGCGTACGACACAGCACGTGGGCAAGTGGGGGGTCGTCCGTCGGGGGTTGCCGGCGTGATGAAGATCACGGGACTTCCGTACATATATACACATGCGCGCGCACGCGTGCCTGTGTGTGTGTATGTGCAGGCAAAGTCAGGCACAGGCCCAGCCGCGTGGGCCGCAAGCGCGCGACTTGCATGCGCACGATGAAGACACACACATACATACACATACATACACATACGCACGCACGCACAGTTTTCGGTTATCCTCGTTAGGTGCCCTGGCTGCTGCTGCTGTTGAGTACAGAACGCGCACATGCACACTTGCGTAGAGGCGCGCCAGCGTACGGCGAAGATAGGATTCCGTACATAGCGCCTGTGCGTGGTCGGGGTGCCGCCCTGGAATGGAGGGGGGCAGAGGGGGGCCGTATCTGAAGACATCGAAGGCAACGCGCACGTCACGATTGTCGTCATCACCGCTCCTGGCTGCTGTCTGTCTGTCTGTCTGTCTGAGGCGCAATCCGGCTGTGTTCGGGTTCGTGTGGGTGGGTTTTTGTGAGCCCTTGTCCCCCCCTCCGGTGGTAAGGACAGCGCACTCAGGCACGTGGTGTGACCGCGGCCTTGGTGGCGGCCTTGGCGGTGAGGGCTGCTGTTTAGTGTTTTGGGGTGTGCAGGGGCCTCTGTCGAGGAGGCGCCTCACCTCTTTCAGGAGCATCAGCGGGTCGTGCTGAAAGGCGTTTCATACGTCTGTTCACATCCGAGCACCGCCAGGGTGGGGGTGGGGGTGGGGTGACCTACAGGTCGTTGGGAGGAGAGGGAAGAGGAAAGGGGGGAGTATGAGCGAAGTAGCGTAGCGCTAGCGGAGATGGTTGAATGACGGCTGAGGTAGAGGTGTGTTTCCCAGCTGCTGCTGCTGCGGGGGCACTGCCGCCGTCGTGGCGGTGGCGGTGGCAGTGGCGGTTATGGAGTGAGGTCACCTTGGACGGGTGACGAGGGGCAGGGGACGGTATGTGTATGTCGTACACCACGTGATTGATGGATTGCACTGCCAGACGCTCCGGGGACTTGTGGGGAGGCGTCCGCCCACATGTTGCCCCGCAGTCCTGCAGGGGCCCCGCGCACAGCATCGAGACACAAGACGGTTAGACTGCCGTACAGGCAAATACAGGCAAACTTCTGCCCTGTGGTGTGAAGAGTTTTGATGCACGGATGGAGTGTCGGGGATATGGCCGTGGTGGTCGTGGTGGTCGGGGGGAATGGGGGGGGGGCTGAAATGAGAGCAGAATGCGAGGCTGTAGGCAGCAGCTTGGTCGGTAGTACCGCAGGAGTACGGCAGGAGTACGTGGCAATAATAATTAAGCGGCAGCATATGTGGCTTCCCATATCATGAGTAAAGGTGCGGTATTCTTTCAAAGGAATATGTGGGGGGGTTGAGGGGGAAGATGTGGGGACGGGATATCTAAGAGAAGAAGCGGGACAGAACAGGTGGAGCGGGATGCGATCTATCTAAATCTGTAAATATCGACGACACGCTGATCGTGGGCGGAGGTCGGCGTGTGTGAGATTGCGTCGGACAGGGGTAGGGTAGGGCAGGATGTTCGCATGTTGTCGCGAGGTTTCTTTTTCAACGCACGTCCATCCTTTTCCATGTGCATGGTAAAGTTCCGGAATTGATTCAGAAAATGTTGTATCGATGTATCTTTAAAAATATCGTTAGTGTAAAACCCTTGCTTCTGTTCGACTGGCTGGATGTGTGTGTGTGTGTGTGTGTGTGTGTGTGAGTGTACATATATCTTGCCAGGGGCTGCTGCCCAGCCCCAACAGCATGACCGCCGACGCACTCCTCCCCAGGGGAAAGGGAAGGGGGGTGAGGGGCCGCTGCCCCCTCTCGCTCGCGGCACAGAGCCTGAACTGCCGGATACCTTGTAAGGGTATTTACACGGCGTTAGGTCTACGGAGGAAGAAAAGAAAGGAAAGGCCCGCAGCCTCAAACACTGTGCTAGGGAACCGCCAGCCAGCAGCCAGCATCGAAAGACGCTCTCCGCAATCCTTGCAGCACCAGGGCACTGAACACCCTAACGCTATGTCCCTGTTCCCTTGAGTCGGGGGCCGAGTGGTGATTTTGGAGGGTGCGGGAGTAGTGGCCACATACGTACATGCGTGGTCTTCTTCCCGTTCGTTGCCATGTTTGACCCACCATCGCTGGAGAGACTCCTGACAACCTGCCTCGTTCGGGCTTGGTGCCGGAGCCCTTTCTTTGATACTCATACTTACCTGGCCCGCTTCTCGAGGTGGTCAACATGGCCTCGGTTGTATGATCGGTCTTCGCCTAGCACTTAGCGAGGGCTTTTCGTAGTCGGCCCTTCGGGTGTCCGGCAGGGCTAAATTTTTGAAAGGCTGAGGATCTGCGCAACGCGCGACCTCGGCGCCCAACCAGTCAGTGAGGATCTCTTGATGAATGAACGCGTAAAGGCATTTTTTATATGTGAGAGGTCACGGGTCTGGAAGGAAGACTCCCAAAGCCTTGTTCATTTGTAGTTTTATCGTTCGCATCCCTTGTCTGGAGCTGTTTCACGTAGGCATGCTTTCATTGTGTGCATAAGGGGTTTAACGACGTAAGAGATGAACCGGCTAGCCGGTAAGAAATCAGGGCAAACGGTTCAACGCGTGTGGAGGGATTTCGGGTGCCCTGTGGCTTCTGGGGATGCAATATGGTTCTACGGGCTCGAAATCCCAGCCTTACCTCTAGCATACATCAGGGATCTGAGCTGAAGGAAGTGAGACTCGTGAGGGAAGAATGTGGTGAACGGTGAGTCGCAGCGAAACTCTACTAGCTGAATCCTCCATGATTTATTTTTTATTTGGGGTTCAGAGAGGGGGGGAGTTTGAGTCTGTAAGAGTTTGAGTTTGTTCTGCGCCATCGTTAACGGAAACGGAAAGTCGATTCCATACCTGAAAATCATGACTGGTTACATAGTAGTCCCTTTAGCTTCAATCCATGTGCATCTTGCTCAGGCTAAGGCGTTATCACTCCCATGATGCTTTCCATAATATACAGGTAGTGATGTTATAACTTATAATAAGGCCAGACAAGCCAAGTTGGCACAGCACGCGAACTTGTTTTGCTGCGGCCGCTTACTGTAGGAGCTTCAGCATTACAGTTAACTGTTGTTTAAGGGGACTATTGTAGTGCTTGCAACCTTTAAAAACAGAAATCCTTTCTTGGTGGGAGCGGGAAGGCAAATCCTAGCTTGTACCTTAAAGAGTGCAAGCTTCCGCGGCTGGCGACTAACCAACTATCACATTTCGCCTGGACACCTGCGGAGCAAAATGTCAACGCTTGCAGTGGCAGCATCAACGCAGCCATCTTCAGGGATTGTCATACACCAGGCAAGGCCCTTAACTCCACTACCATGCATGCGAACACGGATATTGCCGACACTGCTTTGCAGTAATGCGCCTGGCATCTTTCCTTGTGACGAGCGAAGGGCCGGGAAGTAAAAAGCGGAGGACAGCTTGGGACAGCTGGCCCAATCTCACCCTTACCACCGCCACCACCGCAATGACGACCACCCTATCACCGCTTCTTCATCCAGGCCCGGCCCCCGACTTATAAACGCAGTACGCTAAGACCGTTCAGGGCCACTTGATTCGCCGTTACAAGCGCTTCCTGGCGGATGTAGTACTACCTGCCGGAGACAGTGCTAAGGGCCGTGGGAGCAACAGCGGCGGCAGCGGCGACATGGCGGCTGCGGCGACGGCCCTTGAGGCTTCGGGAGCCAGCAGCGGTGTAGTGGGCAATGCTAATAATGACCCTCGCGGTGGTGTCACAATTACCTGCCACTGTCCCAACACGGGGCCTATGACGGGTTTGCTGGACTGGTACGGCACCGGGGGTGAAACTGTACGGTAATTAGGGCTTATGGTCGTACATGCTCTTGCGTGCACGCGCGCCCGGCCCCTACCAGCCGCCATATGGCCATCCTGGGGAAACGACCTCCGGAAGATGAGCAGACCAAGTAAACCAACCGAATCAACTAACCCAATCCATACTAACGAACTAACATTTGAGCTAAGGGGATACCCCCGCAGCTCGCAGCTCCCAAGTCGCCCCCAAGGGGTGGGGTGTGTGTCAGGAGGGATGAAAACGTCATCATCATCATTATCATCGCCATCATCATTATCATCATCGCCATCATCATCATCATCATCATCATTATCATCGCCATCATCATTATCATCATCGCCATCATCATCATCATCATTATCACCACCATTGTACGGTTCCTCTCCTCCTCCTCCTGCCCTGCCATCCGTGCCTCAGGCCCCTCAGCCCCGTGGTGTGCAGCGTGTCCTCCGCACCCGGACGCAAGTACCCGCACACCGTGGAAATGTTACAGGTACCGGGACCCGCGCATCAGGGGGGTCGGCAGGGCCCAAGGCGGGGTGGGGATGACCGTCCGGGGCGATGGGGCTGGAAAGCGGGTTATGCTGTCTGCGGGGTCCCATGAGGCGCCGACACAACACCGGATAGCGCAGCCGCTGACCCCTGACCCTGACCTGATCCAAATGTAGCCCCGCAGGATGTGTGAAGGGGTGGTGTGGTGCTGAGGGTCGGGTCGGGGGGGTTACCGAGGGGCTGGAGGGGGGAAGTGTCGGTGGTGTGAGACTAACCATCATCCAAGATCTTAACCAGGCATACCATAAAAATCAATCCGCTCGAAGCCTACCTACCAATCAACCAACCAACTAACCAACCATAACCATAAACCCACCCGGCGGCGGGGTGGGGGTTGGGGCGGGGCTCGCTCCTTGAGCGGCCCCACAGACTGCCCCAGGGGGCGCCTGGGTGGGTGTTCACAGCGCTCTGGCTAACCAGTTGGTTTCAGAGCTGCTGGACAGGCGACTGCTGCCACAGCTGGGGGAATGGCGGGACGTGGCAAGGGAGGTGCCGTACGGATCCCGTGGATCCAGGTATGCTGCGGCGGCTTGGGTGAGCTGAGGGGGATGGGCACCCCGAGTACGCAATGAAACCGGCCTGGGGACCCCACATGTGTGTTGAGGTGGGCGGTGGGGTGCAGATGGCCATGATGGGATCCGATGGCGCTCATGATGGTGATGAAATGGTGGTGGGACGTGGCAAGACGGCGGCTGGGTGGAGTTCGACAGGTTGGGTGTATGTGCAGTTAGGTCCGCTAATGTAATGGGTGTTGGTGGCGAGCAAGTAACCATGTGTTCGGAGCTTAGTCCAGCCCTCCGTGTATACACCTCCGTCACCACACGTCACCGCCAAGCTTTCCACTGTATTCCAATTTCCATCTCCGGGTGTACTTTGGGGTTTCAGCTCTCATGAGACCTATGGGTCGGCTGTCTGGTTAGGGCCTGTAACCCTTCTGGCGTTGTCGCCAGATTCGCGTGTGGTTTGCATCTGGGCCATTCAGACCCGCGGGTCACACAGGGATAAGTACATATAGTTGCATGGCGGCATATTAAACGTGAGTCCAGGCCCATGGGTCACAAATCCACGGGGCTGCATGGCTACGGCTACGCAGACTATTTGGCATCCACCATCCTTACGCGCACGTTTTTCGCAGGGTGGACTTTGTTCTGACGCGACCCACGGGTCGGCAGGTTTTCCTGGAGGTCAAGAGTGTGACAATGGCCGAGCCGTACAACAACAATCGAAGCCCGGCACCCGCCGTTGCTGCGGCCACGATGTTGCCATCCGCGCCGCCGCTCCATGATGCCGTACAGCCTAACAACCCAGTTGTTAACTCCACAGCCTCAGCCAGCGCTACAGGCGCCCCAGAGCTACTGCCGCCGCCGCCGCGCATAGCACTGTTCCCAGACACGGTACGCTACTCCCGCCTGGCCACGTCCCGCCCCATCCCAGCCAGCCCATGTTAGGGGCTGTACCCTTCCCACCACATCACGCACCTATCTTCAATGCATTCCCCGCCCTACCGGGATATTTCCCGCCCTACCTTGCAACCGCTGAGGTTCACCTCCCCCAATCACACCGCCTCCCTGATTCCTAGCCCGTTCGCGATCCGGTCGGGTCGGGTCGGGTTTGGCGGGATTGTGTATCGTCACCTCTTGGGGTGTTTTCACCCCGGGGGCGCGGGTTGATGGCGACTTCAAGCTTCTATGTCATCCACATGGCCTTGACATTCAGAAAAACGTATAGTACATTATATGTATATCACGGTTTTGGGAGGAAAAGTGCACAGAAGTCACAGAAACGCGTAAAGCCCCCTACGGGCTTCACAGGCTCATTCCCTGACCCCTGGCTGTGGTAGCTGGCAATGCCGTACAGGTCAGCGAGCGGGCTCAGCGTCATGTGGAGGATTTGATGGAAGCTGTTTCCCGGGGGCATGAGGTGAGGTGAGGTGCTCGCGCTGTCCTGTCGGGGCGGTGGCGGTCGCGGTCGCGGCTGCCGGCGGGAGATAAGAGGGCCGCTTGTCAGTGGACTTTGGCGACTGATTTACGACGTGTTCTTTACATTAATACTGCACAAGTGCGGAAGTCCGTGCTCTTGTGCGGGAAGCAGATACACAGGGCTTTAAATTTCTGCATACGGGCCCGTAGCCTTCTTTAGCGTAGCCAGGAGAGGCAAAACATGAAGGTGAGCGAGCCGTGGCAGTGAAACTAGTGAGAGGCCAACAGCACTCATCATCGTGGGAGTCTCGAAGCGTAGGTGGAAAAGCCTGGTAGGGTGCTCTGTATGCAATCCAACGCGCGCCGCGTGTTTGTTGGGGACAGGCGCCCAGTTGGAGTTGGGGCCAGCAGCTGCGGCAGGTGGGGGATTTGTGGACTGGACTGTCCCTTTTTTTCAATGCCGCGAAAGCCCCAGGCCGCCGCTCTCCATGCTTTCCGCTCGCCCAGCTTCGCCCTCCCTTCAGAGCTCACATTCCCCTCTAATAAGAAATATGTTTTTGGCTTAGTGGCTGGTTTCTAATGTAACGGACACAGTGTGACGGCATGGTGTTAGTTTGGTTAGTGTGGACAGCCTAACCATTGCTGTCCGCACACGCTATTGTTGGTGGTGGTAGCGGGCATAGTGCATGTGTCGTATCTGGATTATCGTTTTGCTTCGTGTGCGCTGTGTGATATCTGTTACGAAATCAGATAGATTTCGACTGGCTGCTGGGCCCCGCACTTTAGGGCTTTTTGTGGGCCCGGTACACCTAAGGGGGACTTTAGAGTAGCACACCCCTCAAAGTGGACCAGACATACGTACAGACAAATAATTTTACATCATCTTGGGTTTTACCAAGTTGGTCAAATTTCGATGCAAAACGCGTTAACAAGCGTTTCAACACACGCACGCCTGCATGTATGCCTGCATGTATGCAGGCCGTCTGCGTGTTCGTGATTCAACGGGATGACTGCGCCCTCTTCGCGCCTTGCGCTGCCAAGGACCCTGTGTACGCCAGACTGGTACGGCAGGTACGGAAAGTGCCTGGAATAGCTCTTGTTTGACCTTTCTGGCCCCCGCACACACACATACACACTCTCTCTCACACACACACCGAGACATCTACTGCTCCTGTTCTGTTTTCTGCTGACGGTCATCACATCCCTTCCAAACTCACTGGCAGTTGGCCAACAATGAAATGGTGTATCGTGCCGTACAGCCGGTTTACGCGCTTGCTGTTGTGCAGGCTGCTGCGGCTGGTGTGCAAATGTTAGCGCTGAGGACGTCGGTTCGACCTCCCACCACAGCTGCTGCTGCCGTCAACGTCACCACCCACGGCGATGTCGAAGGCACTACCGCACCAGCGGCCATCGTGTTCCTGGGACTAGCTGAACTGGACCTGGAGTACGGCAGTAGTACGGACCGCAGTGGCGTCGGCGGCGGCGTCTTGGTGGCAGCGAAGACGAAGCGAGGCCGGCGGCCGAGGGGCCAGGATGGCCGCTCAGATAAGACCGACGTGAAGAGGAGGTCGAAACCGAAGCAGGCTGGTACGGCACTGGCGGGAAATGTAGTGATGGCTGAAGGGGGTTTCGAACCGCTGGCCTTGGCCGGGGGAGAGGGGCCGGCCCGTGAGGGCATTCTCCCAACGTCCGAATGGAATGCTGACGGAGTCCTTGGCGACGGACAGGGCCGGCGCCGGGGCCGCGCTGGGTCACGCTAACCATACATGTTCTTAGGCAGATTGGAAGGGTTGGATATGGGGGGGAGGGAAAGAGTTAAGGAAGTCCAAACTTGAGGGCGAGCAGCGCTAAATCTGCGTTAGGGCTTTGCTTGTGAGTGTAAATCTCCACGATGGGAGTCATGAGAGAGCGTGTCTTCGGCAGCTTGAGACCTGGCATGGCATAATGATGTCACACGGACTGGAGCCTAAGAGAGCGGATTGATGGGAGGTATGCCGTCGTGTGGTCATGGTCAAGATGGCGGCGAGATGGCGAGTGGTCAGGGAGTAATGTGTTTCTCTTAGGTGTATAAGCTGCTGGCGATTGTGAGTCCCTCGCTGACACGTGCACAAAAGGAGTGGCCACCCAACGAGCGACGCACAAGACGTTTCAACGCTTTTTGTTACAAGTTTCGCTTCGCGAGCTTACACGGCCCATACGAGCCAAGAGGCTCATGAGCGGCCGAGCTGGAAACAAAACCAGAAGGTACATGCAAACCAAAAACGAGGAGGAAAACGGCCGTACGACATTCTAAATAAAGCGCATCAGGGCGAAGAAATCAGGGTTGCCCAGATGTTCCTGGAGGGGTAAGCCTGCTGTTCGGCGGAATACGGGGACAAACAACCGATTGGGAGACAAATCCGCAACCGCCGGCTGCTGGTGGTTCAACCATTTGTCCTCTAACGCAGTGTCAAAGTAGCATGATCAAGGTGCTGTATCCCCCAGATCGCCCCGCACAAGCACTCGAAGTGGATCTTTGCTGCTGGACCCCACCAGCAGCGTGGCTACATATCTTAGATGACAACGAGTTTAGAGATTTTTTTAGTAACTTACACCTGCGAGCCGACCAGCAGTGGAGTTGACGCCGCCATTGATTCCAGGCACATTCCACTGGATGCTACTGTTGGTGGCGGGTGCTGAATTCGAGACTGGTGCAGTAGTCGGCATGGCTGAGAAGGATGAGGGTGCCCCAAAGCACACTTTTGCTCTAAAGCAACTGGACAATGATCCCTGGCTTGTGGCCCACTAATAAGCCTTGCGCACGCTGGCGCAAAGTAGTAGTGGGCCCGCTAGCTCTCACAAAAAAAATAATTTTGTGGCCACAATTGGACGGCATTTTCTCCGGAGCTTCAGCAGCCGCAATAGTGATATGTCTACCCCTCCCCTCACTTCGCTGCCACCATTCATTCGTTCTCGGCTTCATACTCCAGGGCACATTATCGAGGGTGTACCTTGGCCTCGCTTGCTGCTCCTGAATAAGCCTCTGCAGGATGATAAGCCCCTCCGTTAGTCTAGGAGCTTTCGAAGGACACGAGCCGAAACCTAGCTATACTCATTGATGACCCCCAATGTCGCACCGCTGTGTCCCTAGAAGCCCGCAGTGGTTCCGCTGGTGACACGCCCCTCCAGAACTATATCTGAAGTAGCTGTCGTACAGTACGGCATATACCGTTAATACATACGTGTGCTACGGCGCTCTCACGGCGTTCCAAGAGGCCTTTTTGGCGGCCAGCTACTCCAAATGATATTGAAACTGTTCAACTGCGGAGCGGCTGCATGAGTAAAATTTCTTGAAAGTCGATGAGATTCAAAAACGCTCCATAAACGTAGCTGATGCTGACTGAGAACTTTCTGTGTCTGAGAAACATCACAAGACGGCTAGGCGCATGTACGGGGGCACATGACGTGGCGTGGACTGGCCACCCATTGGCCGAGGGCAGGAGAAGGTAGGCCGGGACCCGCGAGGGCCCGCATGAGGTATCAGACTTCTTGCAAGATGGCTCATATCCTAATAGCCTGGTCATCATCCAGCAAGGCACCTACCGCAGGTTCCGTGCCATTCTCCTTCACTACCCTGGCAAGTTTCATCTTGTAGCGTTGACAAGCTTCAAACAGGCGTGCTCTTCCTCTGCTGTGCTGTCTTTTCACCCCGCAGCGCCGCAATCGATTTATTTGGCGGGGAGTTGTACCCTCCACTTTGGCTTCGGGAACCTAGAGCACCGTCTGAGGTGTGCTCGTAAGCTACATCAGCTCAGGTTGTGTCTACCTACACTGTGAAACATTGCTATATAAGGGCACCACAACCCACTAACTCGACGCTTAAGGGCGCAGAAGATAGCAAAGCAAAAGGAGCAAAAGGAGCAAAAGGAGAGACATGCTCATTCAAGCTTGTCAACACTGCAAGAGGAAACCTCGCCAGGACAGCGAAGGAGAACGGATGTACGGTTGCGGTTGTACGACTGCCGTCAGGGAGCATTGCCGAGGTAGAAGTTGGGAAGCACGGGCTTATAATTTTGCACATAGGCAGCTGCATTCATGCTAGGTAGACGACTTTAGACGCAAGCAATTTTGAGGTTCAAAAATTGACATTTTGACGGATAACCTGTCCTTACGTATTTCTCCTCAATTGAGGATAGCTTCACCATACTGGTTACATAACAGGCATCGCCTGCGGTGCTTTTTATCTAATTAGGCCGGAAGCCACGTCATCATTTTTAGCGTCAAAACTCGGTTCCGAAAAGGAAAATTGAACAAAGGAAGGAAGTATGAACTCTCCAATTGGCGGCATGGCGCTTAGCGGCCCCCACAAGACCGTGGTGAGTGCGTTCATGCAGGGAAGTTTTTATCACGGGGTTTGGACATTGCTGCTTAATTTGAGGGGCTCATCCGAACCCATATGCTTATGTCAGCAAGCATCTCGTAAAACATCGCAACTCCGCATGAGGCAAGCCTCCCTGCTTCGGCTCATATTGCGCGTGGCTGCTGCAGAGTTGCCACATGCCGCTGGGCCGCCAGCCTCAACGATACTTCCAAACATCCACAACTACTGCAGCGCGAGCTCCCTCGTGCCATCCTCTGGCCGGCGCAGCCCTCGTGCCGCATGCGTCCTCAGGCCGCACCTCCTCAGGCAGCTCCTCCAAGCCTCAGCAGCGCAGTTTCTCAGTCATGCAGAGTGCAATGAAAATCCCAGGCCTCGCCTCCGCTCTTCATCTCATCGGCGTGAACAGCCCCAACGGCGCCAGCGCCTCGGGTACGGACAGCACGGTGGCGGCAGCAGGGGGCTCCGGAACCAACAGCGGCGGCATGCCCGGTCCCGAGGAGCCCCCTTCACCCCGAACAGCCAACCCCCAACCCGAGCCTCCCCAGCCCCACCCGCAACAGCAGCAACACGGACCGCTGCAAGATCAACTAGCCGGTGGTGGCGGGGATGGAGATCGAGCGTCACCTGCCACCGCGTCCACGGCGTCCTCCGCTGCCGAAGTACTGTATGATCTAGCCGCCGCCGCGGTGGCAGCCGCCAACGGCAACGGTAACGGTAACGGACACCTGCCGCACCAACAGGAACTCAACCAACAGCAACAACAGCTAGCTGCAGTACAGCCCCAAGGCGCACGGCACATCAACAGTTATGCAAACGGTGTCGCACATCGTCGTGAGAGTACGGAGGAGATCTTGGGGAGTTTAGATCCTTCTGGATCGCGGACCGAGAACAACATCATGCCGTACACAGGGGTAAGACCGAACGAGCTCTGCGGGCTCCAGCCGCTGTTGTTTCTTTGACTCGTTACCCCTTTTCCCGCCTTGCACATAACTAACCTTAACAGTTGGGGCCCGGCAGTAACAACGGCTGCACTACTATGGCCGTCAGCAGCGGCAGCAGTAGCAGCAGCAGCGGTAGCTACAACCTGGCGGTGCAGATTCGCGAAATCGCCTCCACGCTGCGCCACATCAACGCCTTGCGGCTGGAGTACCTGGAGAAGATCGAAGAACAGGTGAGAAAGCGGACCGAGGCGGTAGGGGGAAGTGGGGGGAGGGAAGCTGACGAGAGAGATGCAACTGGGGTTTGCGGCGGTCCTTCTGGTAATCACCCCCTCACTGCTACTGCACTGTCCGCTACCCCGCGCCGCACCCACCGACCTCCTGTCGAACCCTGCAGGAGTTCGAGTTGGCCGCCAAGGACCAAGTGCTGCGCAGCAAAGAGGAGCGCATCAAGTCCCTGGGTGGGTGTGACCTGACTGACTGACAGACTGATTGACTGGGTTGGGGGCGGGGTAACTAGCTGACTAACGAACTAGCTGGGTTGGGGGGTTGGGGGGGGGGGGGCGGGGCTGCCCCGGCCATCGCAGCGGTCTTCGCTTCGGCAAGGCATGTAGACCAACAAGCAAATTGGCGGTCGGATAGACAGACAGACAGACAGACAAGAATGCAGACAGGCAATCAATATGAATTTTTGGACTGTAATACGGATCTGGTTGCAGTCCGGTCACATCACATCACGTTACGTCCTGGCCGCAACCTGGTTCGGCCGCCGATCCGATCCATTCCAACCCGGCCTCACTCGGCCGCCTGATCCGGGACCAACCCCCACCGCAACGCGCAGAGCAAGAGTCGACTGAGCTGCGCAAGTCCCTGGCGTTGCTCCATTCCGCAAAGGTGGCGGCGGAGGTGCGTACGGAGCTGTCGTTTACCTTGCAGCCATGTCTTGCCGGTGTCTGGGATGGACGTTATCGGGGTGAGAGAGGGAGAGCGCACGCGGGGTGGGTGCGGCGACTACGGGGCTTCCCCCGGCCATCACCCGTTTTCCCTCCCTCGACTTTACTTCCCTCTGGTCCCCACACCCACCTGGCCGCTGCCGGAACTACTGTTATTGTATCGTTGGTTGTAGGCTGAGGTGCAGCGTCTGCGTGCGGCGGCAGCGATCAGCAGGCCGGCATCCACACCCGCGCTGGGTACGGCGGCTGCTGTTGCGGCGGCGGCGGCTCCCGCAGCCGCGGATTCGGAGGCGCCGCCGGTGCCGTCAGCGGCGGCGCCGCACACGCTGCCGTCGCCACCTCCGGCCATCGCCGCCAGCGCACCGGCCCTCGTCACTCCCGCCGCGACCTCAAGCCCCACTCCAGCCCCGCAGAACCAGCAGGCCCCAACACCCGCGGCAACGGCGGCGGCACCGGCGGCGGCAACGTCGGTCCCACCAGTGTCTGCCCCAGCGGCAACGGCGGCGGCAACATCGGCGGCAACGTCGGTCCCACCAGTTCCTGCCCCAGCGGCAACGCTGGCACCGCCCCCCACGACACCGCCGCTGCCGCCTCCGCCACGGGTTCCGGAGATTGTACTGCTGTACCGCAGCAGTTGGCCGGAAGCCTTCCTGCACTGCAATGTGGAGGGTCGGGGATGGACGGCAGTTCCGGGGTTGCGCATGGAGCATGCGGGCGCGAAAGAGTACGCTGTGCGACTGCCGGTAAGGCGTTGGGGCTGGCTGGTGTCGTGGAACAAGGTTGCATATGTGTATGTCTGTATGTATGTCTGTGTGTGTCCTGGGCTGATGGAAGGCGACAGGACTCCTCTCCATGTTCCCAGCGCACCCTCCTGGAGACGCTATCCCCAGACACTGCCACTTGTGGGTTCGCTCAGGCTGCGTGTTAGGGTAGCGGACGGGTTGGGTTGGGGGATTATACCTTTGCTATTACAACCGAAAAGGCTGAAATTGATTTGTTCTCTAGCCAGTTGCCTTCCCTCTTCCCCTTCCCCTCTTCCCCGCGTCCCCCACCCGGTAGACCGCATCAACAACGCTGCACCACGGGAAACATATATACATACACACACGCACGCACACGCACCACACCTGCCCTGCCCTAACCCCCGCCACCACTCTCCTCCTCTCCCCACCTTCGTTCCTCCACCTTGCCGACCATCCTTCCGACCACCCACGTCCTCCGCCCCACGTGTCTTCTCGGCTCGATGGGTCGTCCCTCGGGTCTCACCCACCCCCCTCGAGGACCGCTTCTCTCTTTCCTCCTATCTTCCCTTCTCTCTCTCTCTCTCTCCACTCTCCTGTGCTGTGCGCTATCCAGGGCCGCTCCGTCGAGTTCGTATTAACCAACGGCCACGGCGAGTGGGACAGTCCGGGGGTGGGCGGCATTGGCCGCAACTACCACATCGACACACCCGGGGAGTACCGCCTCCATTACGGGGTACTCGCGCAGGTGAAAGCCTGGCAGCCCTGAGGATGCGCCTGGGCTGGGATGAGCTGGGTGGAGATGAGGTGAGCTGAGCTGGGTTAACCAGGGCTCTCGTGCATGCATGCATGCAGGCAGAGAAGATTTGCAGGAAATGTCGAAAACCTGGGAGATTGCAATGTGGAGATTGCGGAGAATCAGCACGATGGTTGGCTTGTTAGCTAGCTGGCTGGCCGGTTCATTAATTGGCCGACTGACTGACTGAATGAATGAATGAGTCTGGTTACGTTGTTTGTCGTTGTTGCTGCGGTTCATGGTGATGGTGATGCGGCTATAGCTACATGCGGCTATAGCCACTGTTAAGGAAACTCGTTTGAAGCATACTTTTCATTGACGTTTGCTTTCGCCGGCGCGCTCCTGAAAACTGTCTTTATCCCAGTTTGTTTAGTTGACGATCTGGGCTCGGTGAGGGAGGTGCAGTGCGGCCCGGCCACCGTCCCGGTTATGTCGCGGTGACTCACCGACGAAGGTTATCGGATAACCGTCGTCGGGCCTTCCCTTTTCCCTGGAATAGGGCCCTGGAATAGTAGCAAATTAGCACCGGCCAGTGCGCACGAGGGTCGTCCTAACTGGAAGAGAAGCCTCGGGCAGAACCAATGCCGTTATGGTGCGTGAGGGCCTGGGGCACGGGGAAGGAAGGTTATCTTCTCGTTGGGGTCGTTTAGTTCGGCCGGTGTGTGTTGGGGTTGAGATTCAGTTGATGGCGGACGTGGAATCTGTCGGAGGGCAGATTGCTGGTGAGATGTTAGTGTTTTGGTGATGGCGATGTTGATCATGGCGACGAAGATATATGTGATTTCTTGTTTTGGGGGTTTCATGTAAGGGGAAGATTGGGACGCGACCCGGTGTGATAGCTGCTGGCTCGCTTATGGGGTGTGCCGATGCCGTTGGAAATGTTTTTTTATTATTGTTGTTGTTGTTGTTGTTGCTGTGGGTCTTTGTAGGACAGCGTAGCAATCCAAGCCACTACTAACGAATTTGGCTGATCATTGTTACTGCTGCTGCTGCTGCTGCTTGTTTTCGTGTTTTGGTGCATCATTTGAGCTGTCCTCCTTTCATGTTGCCCGGTCGCTGTGTGTCAATATTGGACGTGGCTCGGACGATAGGTTTGGAGCATTGGCAGTATATGTAGGTTTGCGGGTTGGTTGACAGTTGCGTTGCCTTCCTGTGTCTTGTCCGCTAGACTTTGTTTTTAAGATGTAGAGCGGCGTCTGTGCCCAACTCGAGGTTTAATGCCTGGAGGCACCGCTCGTTGCTGCTGATAGTTGTTTGTATGTGGCGATGGCTCCGGGTATACGTTATGTGTACATTCTTAATCATTTCGAGGCGCTGTGGGTGTGGATGTGGGTGTGGATGTGGGTGTGGATGTGGGTGTGGATGTGGGTGTGGATGTGGGTCAAGAAGGCGTCTTCGGGGACGGTTGCGAACGATGGTCTGGTTTAATGGGAAACGATGGACGACGAGGTTTGTGGGGTTTGTATGCCGTACCTCAATCTTAGGCACAAACCTTCTTTACAGTTTGTAATGTGTACATTCCGTGCGTTGGCATTTACGTCAGCTCCCGTATGCGCTGTGCCGTAGTGAGCAGGATATATGTCGGTGTAATCCGTACATTCAGCAAAGACGCGCGGTTTGTGAACAGCCCTGCGGACCGCAACAAGTGCGGACTGTGTTTCCCCTGGGGATGTGGTTATCCCCTTAGGCGTGACGGTTGGCAGCAAGCGCCTAGCGGAGATGTGAAGTAGGTACTTATGTGCTTATGTACTTAACCCACCCATCGATTGCTTATAGCGGCACATCATCACACCGGGGATTGTCGTGCCGCGTTCCGGGAAGTTTCTGGGGCAGCAAGCTAAGGCATCATGATCCGTGCTACTGTCAATGCGCGCACGTAGTCTCACGACAATAGGGCAGGTCACGGCTAGGAAATTCTTATGGCGCTGTCCCCATATCTATCTGGCTCTGGATAGCCATTCTAGTGGGAGGAAGTGCTGGGCCACGAATGTTTTGAACCATCCTCGAGCATCTAGATGTTATCTGGCCAGGAAGCGAACCACAGCGGTTCGCAGACAACCGTGAACGTGTTGCTGCATGGTATACCCCGAACGCGGCGGTTCAAAGAACTGAAGACACCTTAGCATCAACGAGCACAGTTCACGATACGTGTGTGTGCCTTGTTCCAGAAGGGTGGAACCAAATTTCCGGTTGGATCATTTATACAATTGTTACAAAGGCGCAAGGGTGTTGTCGGCAGTGCTTCCGTGCTGAAACGCACAACAGCTTTCGGGTTCAGAACTATGGTAAGGCATGCATGGGCACGAAGGTCATTGTGTAGGAAACACTACCAAACGCACCGTCATGAATGACGAAAGTCTAGGAAGTCCGTTTTCTTGGCGTTACGGTCGTCGCTGTACGACCCATGATTACAGCGCCCTGGAGCCGATGGTGCTCTTCCATGTAAGCCGATCGTGTGCCCTTCACTATGACCGTACTTACCACAGCAGCATCGCGATAGGTCGCGTGTGCGAGACTACAGCTTAACTTTTTCCAAGCGGATCGCTCCGACACATCCACCATGGCGTTCGAGCTGCCCCCTCTGCCCTATGAGTATGGCACCCTTGAGCCGCATGTGGACAGCATGACTATGCAGATCCACCACACGAAGCACCACCAAGCCTATGTCAACAACTTGAATGCCGCTCTCGACAAGTTCCCTGAGCTGAAGGACCTTGGCCTCGTTGACATCAACAAGGCTGTTGGCACTGACAAGCTCCCCACCGAAGCTGCTACGGTCATCCGCAACAACGGTGGAGGTCACTACAACCACACCTTCTTCTGGAAGGTGCTTGCAATGATTTGCCGATCTCACCGCCTTGTTATTAGCCTATGTCATCTAAATTCCTGGGAGTCTGCAAGCAAATGCTGGCCAACATATGCAGTGGATATTTCCCGGCCTGGAAACCTACTTCGTAGGCCATGCATGTTTTTCCGATACGCGATAAGGTTTCTGAAGAAACTACTTAAGAGTACTTGAATGTTGTCGTTGAATGTTGTCGGGGCCCAGAATGTCCGCATGAATATTATATCGTTTGGGTACAAAGTTGCAGTTGGTTTCGCAAGTCTCGCAGGGCGCGCATGCCCTTCCGGACAGCGGTCTGTCACTTAATTATTTATATCATTTGATCACTACCTTGGCGTTATTGAAGAGGGCGACTAGCTGTGGTCTTCGATTGTGCCTGCATTTGCAGATGTATTCCAGCAAGAGATTTCGACGTAACCGTGGCCTGAGGACCCTTCCCTCATTCCACTTGTCCTCTCCCCTTATCCTTTCCAGGACGCGCTTTCCATTGTCTCCTCTCCATTCTCGAATTCCTTAATCGACTTGTGCCCACGATCAGGGCCACCCGATCCTTCATTCCCTAGAAGATTTTCCTAGCCCCTACCGGTTCCTCCACCATCCTCTCACACCCATCCCATCCTCTTGGCACTCACTCCCCCTTGGCCCAGGTGATGACCAACCCGTCCAACACCAACGGCCCCTCGGGAGCCGCGAAGGAGGCCATTGAGGCCGCCTTCGGTTCCGTTGACGAGATGAAGACCAAGTTTAACGCCGCCGCTGCAGGCCGCTTCGGCAGCGGCTGGGCCTGGCTGGGCGTGAAGTCTGACGGCTCGCTGGCCATCACCTCCACACCCAACCAGGTGGATGTAGCTCTTGCTTGCTACTGCTGCCTCGCTGCTGCCTTGCTGCTGCTGCTGCTGCTTCTCTGAGTTCATCTTACCTCGTCCTGCCCTGCCCTGTCCTATCCTGTCATGTCATGTCCGCTACACAGGACAACCCGCTAATGTCCGGCCTGCCGGACGCTGCCGCCATGGTCCCCATTCTGGGACTGGACGTCTGGGAGCACGCCTACTACCTCAAGTACCAGAACCGCCGCCCCGAGTACATTGCTGCCTGGTGGAATGTGAGCCGCCCTCTTAGCACGCCCTGCTCACGCGCCCTGGTCATGATTATGGTCATGACCTTTCGTAAAACAGCAGCACCATTCAGGAACAGGAGCACCCGAGGAAGTAGCCGCAGGAAACACCCGGCGCGGCTCCCGCCTTTCCACACGCACGCACGCATCCCCTCCCCTCCTCACGCCCATTTAACCCATTATACTGTTAATTTTCTGCACAAGTGATTCCCCACTATTACACACCTCCCTTCAGAACGCCGTTAGAGGACCACCGTTTTTGCCAAGGTGGCATCCCAGTCCCCACATCAGTCGATCGTCTTACCCCCACATCGCTTTTGTGCTCCATGTTTTACCCGCGGCCATCACCACCGTGATCTCCCTCTCATCTCCGCGCCCTACCTCTCCATTCTCCCCTCCGTCTTATCTCTAGTCTTTCTAACTCCCATCTCGCCTCCCTCCATCCCCCCACCCACCCATCGACTCACCTCAGGTGGTGAACTGGGAGCAAGTGTCGGCCAACTACGAGGCCGCCAAGGCAGGCACTGTGCCGCTGTAAGTGCCATACACAGGTGCTGCGGAAGCTCGCGTCGTTGGGGCAAGGGCGGATGAGACGGGTCTGCTTGAGCCCGCGCGAGCAGGAGGGCCCCTGACCTGCGGCTCCAGAAAGTCACCTCGCTACTGCAGTACAGCCACTACATATGCTACAGGGAAGGGAGAGGGAAGCTGCCTCTGCCGCGTTTACGCGTGCAGCATGCTTGGACCTGGTCCCCGGAGTACGGGGGGCCAGGATGTCGTCCCTCACCCTCAGCCTGGTCCGCTCTGTACGGGGTGAAACCAACCCCCGTACAAGATTGGTTCTGTGGATGCGACCTCGCGCATTGCGCGTGTGTGTGGATGCGCGCGAAGGAGGCAAGGTGCCGCAAGAGTCTCTTAAGGCCTGGAGGTCTTCGTTTGGGGACTGCTTGAACTGGGAGAATTTGATTGGGTGCACGGAGTATACGCCGCCATGGAAGAAATTGCCGTGTGCATGTGTCTGTGTGTGTGTATTACTTCTGCAGGTGTGTTCCCGATGGGGGCACGGGCACGGGCGTGGATATGTCCCACAGCTTTGGCAGTAGCAGGCTGTAATGATGGCGGGGCAGACGGAGTAGTGCCATGTGCCGGCAGGAGATTGCACAGCCGCTACAGCCATGTCCGGACCTGGTCCTGAATATTTTACATGACTGCTGCTGGTGTGCTGCTGAGGCAGGTTCGGTTGTGACTTCGTGGGCCTGTTAATCAAATGATGCTCAGCAGGCCCAGCCAGGCGGTCGGTCTTCCATGTGGCGAGTGTTGTGGCGGATCGACCTGTCTGTGGTCATGCAGCGCCCAGTGTTGATCCGTGGCCCTCAGCCCTTCCCAGTTGCTAGCGCGGACTGAAGTTGCAGGGCGCTGCGGAGACAAGCCTACCTAGGCCGCCGCCTTCTCAGCGAGGAAAACAAGGGCTGTTTTTTCCGTTGCTTGTGGTCAGGTTGGGCCGGATACTGAGTATTTGGCTGAGCTGTGTGGTTGAGCGTGACGAATACCTCCGTGTCTTGACTACGTGGAGAAGTGTCTTGCCTTCTGTACTAACCGCCGTACGCTCTGGAGCGTCCTATTGTGTTGAATTATTCTGACTCAACCTGTCGGCAGATGTGTATACACCCAAATATGCACAACCACATCTCAACGTCGATATCTGTCCGCGAACTCCATTTTTCTTGCAACGGGACAAACCTCCCGTCCCTATGTATGCGCAAAAAGCTGCATAAATATGAATTTGTTATCACCTTCTGCATGCTTTTACTATACCTTTCCCCTGCCGCCGGATGAAATGGTAAACAGATTGTACAATTCGAATTCTTTTCTGGATTGATTACTCCACACCACTCCGTCTCAAATGCATTATATCAAATTACCAACGATTGCTGTCCACCGCGGGGGACCAGAACTTGGGCCGAACTGACTGACGGCAAATCCAAACATCCAAATCCGGCAAATCCAAACATTAGGAACGGCTGGCCAGGAATATCTCGCATCGCACAAAAATAAACATCTCTTCGTTCAGAGCGTGTTGAAAACTCCCCTCCATTAAGGCAACTGAAAGATAAACTCAAGGCTTCAGTAAAAATGTTAGAAGTCCATAGCACGTGCACGAATTCGTAATCCCTTTCTCGCACATCTTCCACCGGGGGAGAACGCCATGTGCCAGACATGGAAAACACACAACACCTACACCTTGACGCGAACTGCGAGCCCACCCTGAGAGCGAGTTCGGCTGGTGGTGGTGGTGGTGGTCGGGAAGATAGCCGCCACACGACCCAGGTGCTGGTTCTATTGTTTGCGTAGATCATGTTCGTACGCCACAACGACGCCCTCACTCGTCCTCCACCACCGTAACTATTGCCGCCGCGTAGCTCACGCTCGAGTGGGATTGTGACGTACATTTACTGGATTGGTCGTACTTGGTAAACTTGATCTTATGACGAAGTTTGCTGTGTTGCAGCATCTGCGAGTTCATCCAGCGACAGTAGCAGTAGCAGTAGCAATGGCCATACCAATGGCAGTAGCCATGGCAGGGAGGTGAGCAACGGCGGTGGCGGGAGAAGCAACTGCAGCTGCTAAACACCGGTTTTTTATGGTGTGCTCTTCCCCCGGGTCATATTGATAACGCCTGGAGAGAAAAAGGAAAGAACATTTAACTACACAGCTAACCTAAGTTACGCTGCGGCCATGAAGAGTACGGTACCATTGCCGTACTGATGCCGTACTTGCGCCGCAAACTTCAGTGAAAGTCCCCTTGGAACCATGAAACCTTCACCCGTACGGCGTTCACAACTTCACCCACAATGTACGACACTCACATTAAGGAAGACCCCGATGGGATGCCGCCCACAAATGGTGTTGCGGTACTGCTCCAGGTAGGCGGTGAAGTCAGCGGGATTGCCCTTTTCGAGGAGAGGACAGGTGTATGTATGTATGTATGTATGTATGTATGTATGTATGTATGTATGTATGTATGTATGTATGTATGTATGTATGTATGTATGTATGTATGTATGTATGTATGTATGTATGTATGTATGTATGTATGTATGTATGTATGTATGTATGTATGTATGCATGCATGTATGACGTTGATTACACTGTGGGCTGAAAAGCCGGGGGCCCAGGGCCGAAGCACAGCGCGAGGGGCGGGTGCATGTATGTATGCATGTGCGTATATATGTGGATTCATGGAGGAAAGGAAGGGAGGGAAAGAGAAATTCCGGGGGCGTGCAAGAATGGAGACACACACACACACGCACGCGCACAAACATACATACAGACTCGCCGAAGGGGACAACGAAGCCAGTAAGGATATGGGGAACCGCCCCCCGGGGGTTACCCAGACGGCCACAGCAGGTGGCGGGGCAGTCCTGGAGTGGCGAGATGACGTGAGGGATCACACAGACCGGGGGGTTACAACCCTGGAGCCATCACGATCACCCGTCTCCAACCCTTATATTTCTTTTTTCACCATCGCCACCCTCCCTTCTCCTTCAGTGCCGTACTCCGTGGTGCCGTACTTCAATGGCTAGCGGTTGGGATATCGCTTCCCGGAAGGGAGATCCCTTCACACTTGCTGCAAATGTCCCAAACAATCCTTTCCCAAACATCACCACCAACCCCTTCCGCCCCTAACTGCCAACTGTCAACTGTCACGTACCCCCTCAATAGCTTGAATTCCCAGCTCGTCCAGCCATTTGATGGATTGCCAGATCTGGCCCTACGGGGTGGTCAACGGGTGGTCAACGGGTGGTCAACGGGTGGGCAAGGGGGTTGGGGACATCAGGGACGAGAGATCCGGATGTGGATGTGGAGTAGTAGTAGGAGTAGCGAGTCAAGGGGATTGAAAAGATGGAAAAAAGCGGACAGTCCGTCTGGCAAGGCAGCAGCAGACTGGGTCATAGTTGCCGACCTAGTGTGATGTGGTGTTGTTCAGCGTAACACGCGGCCGTTGTTCGTTAAGTGTAACCGCCCAACCGCCGTGGAACCTCCACAGGGACGTGCGTGAACTCCGAGGTATGACTATATGCGCGTACAACTTCTAGAAGAAGTATCCCCCCCATGCACGCCGCCAGCATTGCAACACGAGGTGAGCCCCCCCACGCCGGCCCGCGCGCGGTCGCAAGTCTAGTGATTCTTGTCTTGTCCGTTGCCGAATGAACAGACTCTGAGGCCCAACATACACACAGGCCAGCTCTGGTCAAAGCTTTTACTCCCCTCCACACACAGAAAAGCTCACTGATACCCGGTATCCTCTTCTCCCCCCGTCCCCTTCCTGTCCTATGATTACCACCCGACCTGCAACCTCCAACCGCCAACCCCTAACCGCCAACCTGCTCCCGGTTGTAGTAGGTGTAGCTGAATCGGGAACCCCAGTGACAAAAATCGCTGGACACCACAAACAGATTGGATGGGTCGTCCAAGTACGGCCCCAGCAGTTTGCCGTACAGCGCCTCCCTGCGCTCCGAGACCATCATGGGCGTGGTTTCGGAGATAACCAAACAGGCCGGGGGATGGAGCTTCGGGTCTTAGGCTGATGTGTGAAGTGTTGTACAGATTAACGAAACCGAAAACACACCCATGAAGCGTCCAGGGGGGACAGACGAACCAGGGGGGGACCGGTAACTAAATAAAACACACACACACACATCAGCACTCCGAAACCATGTTGGGGATCCTGTTACCTCCCCCCAAAAACACCCCCCCCTGCTAGCAGCAGCAGCAGCACCACCTTCTCGCCGCACCACGTCACTCACCCCTCGGCAGTTAGCGCGCCCACCATGATGGGCACCAGCTTGTACGACTGTCCCCGCATTGTGTGTACAATGTACGGCGTGTGAAGCTCTAAGCTGTGCTCGGCCTGTTTTATCCCCGCGGGGCCCCCACGACATATATACACACGCACAACACAAGCATCCCCTCGGCGGGAAAGCAATGTGGGAGGTAAAGTGGTAGTCACGTGATGGTGCGCGCATGTGTGCTGATGTGTGACTTAGATTACACTGCGGGCCGCGAGAGCCGGGGGCCGAAGCCGAAACACAGCGCAAGGGTCGGGAGCACACAGCACAAGTCGGTTAGTCTTGTGTGCTCCCGACCCCGACTCAGACTGCCAGCACACTCCGCAGCCCCTCCATCCGGGGATGGCGTTGCAGTGAATACACCACGAAGGGCTCTCAGGTCCCGCTAGAGCGAGTCTACAAGTCTCAGCTAGGGCAAAGGCAAAGGCTCTCTGAAACAACCCCCCAAAACACAACCAACGACAAATGGATCCCAAGGAAAAAAAGAAAAAGACGGTTAAGGCAGCCCAGGTAGGGGAGGGCTCCTGATACACCTAACAAGCCAAAAAAGAACCTCCAAGAAAGAAAGGCGTATAGAGCTCGAACCACAAGACGTCTTTCAGCCACCTCACGACAACTGTCCTCCTCTACCTCTCCCTTCCTGGGCTGGTACAGGGGAGAAGTAGCCGTACAAAGAAAAAGGACCACGCACAAGCCCGATCACCACTGCAGGAGCCCGGGATAGACCAGCGAGACCACAAAGGGATAGCGCTGCCACGACACACAGCTCCTAGGCCCTCCAGAATACCGCAGGGGGATGAATGTAGCCCGCGCGGCGCCTCCCCCTTACCGTCACTAAACCGGAACGGTTGGTCCTCCAGAACCTACTCACCCTGCCTCGTACTGCACCGCTCCCACCCTCGTCCCTCACCAAGCAACCCAGTCCCGCAGAGAGGACGTGCCTAAGTAGAATGGCCCTCCTCGAGCCACAACTCCCCCTCATCCGAGCCCCGCTGCTACCACCAGAACTCAACCTCCCGAACCCCAGAAAAACCTTCGTCCTTTTGGCGCTCTCACCGCCATTTTCCCCCTCCCCTTTCCGAGTGAGCCCACCTCCCCCAGGCTCTCCAACATCCTACAACCTCGGAGCGGCGCTAGGGAAGAAAATGTATGTATGTATATATGTATGTATATATATGTATGTGTGTATGTATGTATGTATGTATGTATGTATGTATGTATGTATGTATGTATGTATGTATGTATGTATGTATGTATGTATGTATGTATGTACGGTGGGGGAATGATGCTGATATGCGGCTTCGGTTGCGTTGTTAAATCGTTGCACCCACCACATCCCTTCCCCCCTTCCTCCTCCCCTTGGAAACCCCCACATAGGGGGCCACACGGAAACACACGATACCGTGTGTGCCGCCAGTGCGTGTTTCAACTTTTCCCTCCCCTCCCCTCCCCTCCCCTCCCCTCCCCTCCCCTCCCCTCCTCCCCTCTTCCCCCTCTCCCCCCGTTCACATACACGCACATTGCGGGTGATATCCACTCATCCCCCCAACCCCCCAAAACCCCCCACCCACCTCGTCTACGTCCCGGCTCATGACCTCGAACTGCCCGGTGGCCTTGAGCTGCCCGTAAACCTCCTGATCGATCTCCATTGACCCTGCCGTATACAGGCATATATATATTGGTCATTGACCGGCCACGGACCCATGGGTCGCCGGGGATGGTGGGGGTGAGAAACCCCACCGGGCAATAACGGGGGTGACGTGAACGCGAGGCAAATCCCCAAAGGGAGGTCGGAGGGGGGTTTGCGAAGGCATGTGGTTTCAACCCTACCAGCGCGGCCGACCCTCTCCTGACTCATATTCGTTACGATAGCAATAGCGCAACCGGTATGTATGTGCGTGCGTGTCTGTGTCTGTGTGTGTGTATTTGCTACATATCGATTCGTGTGTGTCGCGGTGTATGGTTCCATCCCCCCTAGTGGCGTCCTCGCCACCTGCCCTCCCACTCCCCGAGGTCCCGCAACACCACAAGCCAAACCTCCGCCCCCAATCCCCCCACGCCAACTCCTTCGACATATGCCGTACCTAGCGGCGTGTCGTACAAGCTCTGCGAAGACAACATGCACTTGCGTGTGAAGACGTGGTGGGAGGGTCCAAGCAGGAAGACACGCGTGCTGGATAAGGCGGGGGTTGGGGTTGGGGTGAGGGGGGATTTGGGTTGGTGATGGAGGGGGGGCGACGGAAACGGGCTGTGAGGGTAAAGACAAAAAGGACGGGGCAAAGAGGTGGGATGGGGCCCTCGCTGGCGAAGAGGCCATTGACTGGATGTGACGGAAACGACCAAGAGGGTTTGCGACTTAGATAGAGCTCGGGGCGAGAAGGTGTGGAGGGGAAGGTGTGGAGGGGAAGGTGTGGAGGGGAAGGTGTGGAGGGGAAGGTGTGAAGGGGAAGGTGTGGAGGGGAAGGTATCAAGCTTGAATCAATCGCGGGCCGGGAAGGCAGGGGAGCGGGGGGAGGAGGAGCACCCCGACCTACAATTTGTTCGCGTCAATGTGCTTGTAGGCGTAGGCCATGACGTGTCCGCAGTACGAGTAGCCCGCGTGCCTGGAAGTCGTGTTTTTTTTGGGGGGGTTGTGTGTAGGAGGGGGCAACAGCGGCAACAGGTGTTATAACAGCGATACGGTTGATGGAACGGGAGTGGCAGTAACATGTGTTGTAGAGGACAGTAGCAGATAGGAAGAGCCTTAGGAGTATCGGTGCGGCAGCGCCATCGTCATCATGGCAGGCGTGGCCTGGGGCCAGGGGACTTGAAGGGTGTGTGTGCGGGGGGTGAGGTAGCAGTGCGATTTGGTTTCCAATGGACGACTGATCGCCTGATTGTTTATTTGCTGACTGGTTAGTTGGAAGGCCGTGAACGGGATGACGTTTGGGACGTCGCAAACATACATACATACATACATACATACATACGGGTTTGGCACTACTGGTAAGGCGCGACCATTGCCCCCGGGAGATCCCGAGATCGATACCCATTAGGGTCAAAGTCCTTCCGATGGTGGAAGGCATTGCGCCCCTAGTTGATGGACGGTGGTGACCTGGGGTAAAGTTAACCTGCGAGCCGACCAGGAATGGAGTTGGGCCGCTGTCGACCCGGCAGATTCCATTGGATGCTGGTGGTGGGTGCGATAGTTGACTAGGGTGACTGGATGAGGGTGCCCCGAAATACTGGGGAAGGCAGGGTTTCGCAGGGTAGCTGCCACGGGCGAAGATACACCCCCCTGTTTCACACATCATACATACGGTGTGAAGTCATATCACGTACGGGCCAATGATGGCGCGAGGTGAAACGCGGGGCTCGGTCTGCACTGCGGCCTTCCAGTTGTCGATCTCGGCGTTCAGCGCATCCGCTGCGTTGAGGGTGAGGGCGAGGGCATGGGATACTGAACCAGCCGACTATATGACTTTGCTGCTACGCACACACCATCTCCTTGGTACCAGGAGCTTGCATGCGAAGGTCGCCTAATCTTCGGCATCCTGGCCCGAAAAATGCTTGGAATGCACAGCGCCAGTATTCAGTGACAAAAACCGTCAAGCACAACGCCACTGGGTCAGTGTCATAAACGTCCTTTGCCAAGATGACCAACATGCGATGAAATTCTAGAGCAGAACCTGGCATTAGGGCTTCGAGCGCTCCATTGGTTTCGCCGTACCGAGCATTCCGGCAAAAGTAGTTACTGGCCAGATAACATCAGGAAAATAGCGGCAAAATGCAGAAACTTATTCACCTGATTTCCTTATACTTTAAATCTCAAGTGCCTTCCAGTATGCATTTGTCACTGTTGAAGTGCGGACGGGTTGGTAAACCAAAATGTCAATCCCATTAGTAAAAGTAAACAATCTAATTATGCTTTAAAACTGACCGTTTTCAGGCTTGTTGGTCAGCCGAGCTGTCGGTATCCTGGATCTGACGCCTCCATTTCATACGGCCTAATTGGCCTAACTTCAATAAAATGTATTCAATATATGGAAGCTTGCGTAGTAAATAATTTATGGATGTATTACGCCCCAAAACTTGACTGGGACTAATCTCGTTGGGGTTTCTGCCAATCGATGAATTAAGCCGTCGTTTCGGTTAGTACGGGGCGCTTCAGAAGATTTACTCAGCGAGTGTAAGGGTGTGCCAAAGGCAGGCGCCTTCTCTCTAACATTCAAACAAACGGCAATCGAGTTGCTGCGATGCACCTCCACCTACCTTCATTATGAATCCCTGCTGTCATACAGCCGTGCGAACACACGAGCACCGCGGCGCCGGTGTTGTTTACGGATGCGGCTAGGGCTTTTACGGCTGCTACGCCGGATGACTCATTTAGGTCCCACGCACGCCACGCACACTCACCTACGCCTCACATGCTCTCAGCCATGTATCGCACACTACCCAGCATAACCATGCGCACAACGTACCGCAAAGCAAAAAATCGCCTAGTTTCTAGCGGACATTCCCGACAGGTCCTGCCGAGAAACCTCTCCACGTATACGTGTGACAGTCGTGCATGTAGAAGGACCAATTTGGTGCTGTGGGTGTTTGAGGGTTGCCATAGGCAGCGCGCAAACTGACTGGTAATAGGTAAGGAAACTGATGACGTGCTTCATTGGGGCGGCATTCGCAAAGCAACACCTCCAAAGATTTGTTGAAGGTCGTTTAAGACCCATGCTCTGACGTATGCGGGGAAGGGGGGGCTAGTGAGCGTTCGACTAGAAACAGTACACGTCGTGTGGTAGCGAAGGCAGCCAGCCTAATCCGGGCTTCAGGCCCGTGAGTGGGGGATGTACTAAGTTTATTTCCGCATAAATTTAGCAATTCAGCTCTGTTTTGTCGCACTTGCGTATGTATATCATGTGTCTTCTGGGCTGTCCTACTACTTCAACTTTGGTTTGTTGTGTTACCAAGCAAGCCTTGTCATGCACAGGCAAACCCTTTGCCGAGACACATGCGGGCGGTAAAACATTTTTCCGCTTCTCATCGTCCCGGACTTCGTTGCTCAGCGCATTCGCGGTTTCTGCATGTTGGCTTGTTTACTCCAATCGCTATGGGTCTAGAGCGTAAGCCTGCGTATCCTGAATCTCGAGTTACGTCCTACGCCAACGCCTATACATACTGCATTCGCATCACTCTTTCGCATGCGGCGCGTTGCGGCTTGCGGCATCGCAGGGGTTGAGGAAAAGAACTCACAAATTGACCGCATGGATAGCATGAAACATAAGGTTGTAGTAGAAGGACGGGGTTGGGCTAAGTTCCTACCTGTAAAAAGCTTTGAAACCACTGTGACTGGCGGATATGTAAACAGCCTGCCTGTTTACATGTAACCAACAAATCAGCTGTGTCTCTACAAGCCTATCAAGGGTGTGAACGCACATTCCTTACCTAGGCTGGTTTCAGCTTAACTGCCAGTTCGTTACCATTGAGCTGCTCAGGGAAGTCGAAGGTCAGGAACTCCGAGATCGATTTGATGACGACTGGGGTAGTGAAAGGCTGGCGATTGACCACATATGTTTGTCTCTGACGACAAGCAACCAGGGGTGAAGATGTGTCGTTATTTGCAGTGGATGGGGCAGCCTAAGCACTGTGAAGGCTACATCTTACCGAAATATCAGGTCACTTTGATGCGTTTTAGGATGTGTGTTTGGCCTTTCGCTGTCAACCGACCCCATGGTAGGGAACGGGCCGCAAGGTGGTGTCGGGTCTGAATAATCGGCAGGCAGTGGAGGACGAACGGCACGTGCTACTAGAGTGTCCGGAATATGCGGATATCCGCGCTAAGCTCTGGACCCTAGGCATTGCTCCAGGAGATGTTATGAATGCGGTGATGGGTGTCGAGAATCAACGCGGGTTGGCACATGTCTTGGATTGCATACGGAGACGTAGGTTGCAGTACATAGACGACTAATGAGGATCACAGTACAGTGTTATGATTTGTTGCCTTTTTTATATCCTTTTCAGTTATTGTTTCCAGCTCGGCGGCTCATGAGCCTCTTGGCTCGTCTGGGCCGTACACAGGGATGCGACCGTATTCGTTTTGGCCGTCTGGCGTAATAATGGTACCTCAAATTAATACGCCAGGCGTATGGCGTATCAATACGCCGGGGTTCACGCCATGCCGTATTACAATACTCGTGGCGTATTCCTTTTGCCCTATTCCGTCATGGAATTCATGTTTTTCGCTTTTACAATGAAAGGCGTATTGCTTTAGTGTTTGGAAAACGATCTCTCACAAGATAAAATATGAATTTGGGCAACAGCCAGACCTGGACAGCCATCGAGCCATGTGCGCACACATTCGCGTCTGCATTCTAGCATTCCTAACAAACCGTGATTATCACAAATACTACAGCCCAAATTCCACTTTGGCTCTGTGAGCGGGGAAGGTTGTCAAGCAGAACTTGCACTTGCGAGCATAGCGCTTGGAGCTAGAGCTATAGTCACCGACTTCTTCGAAATAATCCAACACAGCACTAGGCTTAGGTCCCGGTTTAGCGCGTTTTGCTTCGCGCACGTTTTCCATTTCGCGGGTTGTTATTACAACAAGGTATGTTGCAAACCCAGTGATAAGCAAACCCTAAAACCTAATCCTAAGTATGAACTAATTACACCAATGACTCGGGAATGTCAATAGCTCGATATTTCTCAAAATCGGCGAGTTTTCAGACTGTACGACAACCCAACGACAAACAATACGCCGACAATACGCCAACAATACGCCAACGCATAAACAGCCCAACTGGCTGGCGTATTCGGCGTATTAATACGGGCGTATTAGCTGGCGTATTAATATGGAATACGGTCGCATCCCTGGCCGTACAAGCTCAAGAAGCTTGTAATCAAAAAACGTCAAAAAAACGTCAAGTCGAAGGTTTCTTTAGCGCAAAGAATTTCGTGCTGTGCATTTCATTGTTATACAACGTTCTTATGGCCCCGAAGTTGGGAATAGAATCAGGCAAGGGTCAGCAGAAGGCAAAAGGACGGAAATTCTCTAATCAACTTAATCCCATTCAATTAAGCTTTTGCAATTGGACTGTTCTGGATTTTCTGACATAGTAGCGATACGGCGCATCCAAACTGGATTTTCGATACGTGCAGTACCGATATCCTAAGCATGTACACGTCATACCTTAGTTCAATTGGGCATAAAATGTAGGTAATTGACTTGAATATTGCTCGTTTCGTTTCAGGTTTGGCTATGTTACGGCGGTTAATTTCACGGCAATTTTCCTACCACCGCCACCAACCTCCAAGTTGGTTAAAGCCATACTTATAACTGTTAAGGAAGTCATTATGGCAGAAACCGCGTGAACGCTTCCTGATACGGACTGCTCGTCGCAAACTTGGCCAGCAGTACAATACCAGTGCCAAACCGCGTTGAAACCTTTAACCAATAGACGAGCGCAACCAATAAGCTCAGTGTTTGAACTGAAGCACTGCGATTTAGGATTAAACTGCTCGGGTCTTTCTTCGGTCGTCCTACGCAGGTTGGAAACACCCATCTCCAGTATCATATGACATTGAATTATCTGATTTAGATTTGAATGCGTAATAAACTGGCGACGAACCGCGGCCTTCTACCTTGTCTACCGGAGTACATTAGGCGGTGAACGGGACTGCCGAAGACGTGGATGGCCAACCTCTTTGGAGCCAGATAAACAAAAGACATCCTCATGAAACCCCATTGCTGGTTTCCAACTATGTCTAGGAGCATTCGCCTTCGCAGCCGGTCGACGAACACGTGCGATTAACGGCTCTCTTTGCTTTTGCGCCGGGCCCCCTTCCCATGGAGGTGCGGTAAACGGGATGCGAGATAAGTAAAACATTTTGACGATGCTGCTTTAACGCAGACACGCAGCCCAGGACCTATTGTTGCCCGTTGCGTCCTCTGGCACACCAGTAGCAGTAACGGATCGGGCGTTTCGGAGTCGTTAGGATTAGCGAAGGAGGGGCCTTCCCCAGTAATCCAAGCTTCATACCTTCGTGATCAGCCACACCCCGCTGCACCTAACCGCCTGCGGGACAATGCTGACCTCGGCGCAAACCCTTTCCTGTTCGCACGCCTTGGTGGTAATTGCACGCAGGATTACGAGTACCTTGCGAATTTGGGCGAAGGTACGCGCGCCGAAACGGACTGCAGGCGTACAGAGTTGGCCCCGGGGCTGCCGAGGCAAATTTACTCACATGCTCAGTGCTGATGGGATGGGCAGTTTCCAACACGATAAGAACGCTCCACGTGCGCTCTTTAAACAAGAGCTAAAAGAGATACCCATACCTGCACCAAGACCTCATGCCGGATGAATACAAAGGTCACCCTGACTTCAATCCAAGCAAATCCTGGATGCCGCTTGCTTTCCTCCCTTGGTCCTGTCGTCTGTGTAAGGGCCTGCGGCTCTCCATCCAGCGATGCATCCTGCACCTGCTGCTGCAGTAATGTCAGCCGTTGATCATGCCCGCGCTGTTTTGTTTGATCAGTGCCAAAATAGGCCAAAACCATCCCCTGCTTGCCGCCGTCATCGCCTCCGGCGGTCCTATTCCCCTAGGTGCCTACGGCTTCGTTTGGAAGTGTGTGGAGCGGGCGACTGGGCGACTTGTAGCGATCAAGGGCATGAAGCAGGCGCATGAGGAACCAGAGGTCGGTTTGAGGGTTGGCTTTGGGGCTTGCATGTACGTCAAGGCCTTAACCAACGCGCAAACGCGGTTAGGGTTGTGACTGGGAAAGGTAGGGGGCCTTGCTGGTCGGTGTCAGCAAGCAAAACCAATACTGGCAAGGGGTGAGGGAGAAGCGAGGCCCTGTGCACAGTACGTGTTAGGGGCAAAAGGTGCAAGAGGAGGGGTGGCAGTGTGGGTAAGGAGAGCGAACGTGAACGAAAGATTGTGCGTGGCGGGGAAGCGGGAGGTGGAAGCTTTGCTGCGTCATACATACGTATGTGCACACATACAAAGGCTGGAGCTAGACAGGCAAGAGGAAAGAGTAAGACAGCAAAAGTTGAAAGAAGAATATTATAATAAGTATAATGCAGAGGTTTTAGCAAGAGCAAAAAAACAGAAGCAGAAAGAAGAGAGGCAAAGACTGGAACTAGAGGAAAGATTAGCTCGAGAAGAGGAAGAGAGACAAAGGCTGGAGCTAAACAGGCAAAGGTTTTCGTATGTGCATAGATACGTACGTACATACATACATACATTTATGGGCAAGGTTGTCGCCGCCACCACTTTTCCTATCCTTCGGGTGCTGGTCGGCGTTCATGAACGGCGTTTCCTCGTTGTACTGACTGTCAGGGTCGCTGACAAAAGCCCCCATAGCTTCTTCACGCCACATACCTCTCCAGTTTCTTTCACTCTGATCACGCTCATTATATTCCCAATGCCGTACACTGGACCCCTGACCCCGCCGATGGCCCTCGCAGATTATGCGTCTTGCAGTTCGGGAGGTGCGGGTGCTTCAGACGCTCAAACACCCTGCCATCATTCCGCTGATAGAGGCCTTCAAGTCCAAGTCGGGCCGGGTGTATATGGTGAGGAGCGAGGGGGGCTAGGTGGGTCATATATGTGTGTGGCTAAGGAGGTGGTTCAGTAAGGGGGTCCGGGATGATTGGGAGGAAAGCACAAGCGTATGCTGCCCATGAAACGAGTCTTGGTTCGTTGATCGAGGTGACTGTAAGTGAATTTACAGATACCCAGCAGTATCCGCTATGCGCTATGTACAGCACCCCCCCCCCCAAAAAAAATCGTAAAGCCATACTTCCATTTCAATGGCCATACCACCACGTCGTCCAACCGCAGCCACGATGCGCCCAATGCCATCAGCAGCAAACATCTGAAAATTTGTCAAATACGCGTAATGAAATACGTGGACCCGTCGCCATCCACCATCATGACAGGCAGCGCTTTGTCCCCGCCGTCGCATGTCATTAGCCACCGCTGCCGCCACCATGCCTTCCGTACCCAGGTGTTTCCGTACGTGGGTCACAGCGCGTACCAGGAATTGGACGAGCATCCCGACGGCCTACCTTACCGTCAACTCAAGTTACTGGTTTGGCAGCTGCTGCAGGCTCTCGTATATCTGCACCGGCGCAAGGTAATAAGCAGCACGGCAGCTCACCCAGCTGCAACCCTGTAGGATAAATGACTGGCTGGAGGTTAGGGGCAGTATCGGGTCATTGAAAGAGGGAGTCCACAGTTCAGTCGCTAGAGCTGGCTCGCTCGATCCTCATATCCAAATTCGCCCATCCTGAAGTGTCATGGCGGAATCACATCGAAACGATCTGCCTGGGCAATGGAGCCGGATATGAGGGAAAAAGAGATGGAGCCATTGCTTGCCGCGAATTCACGCTGTGATGGGCACCCTTCCGCGCTGCTGGTGCCAATAACCTTTCCCACATTTGATCTCCTGTTTCCGACATGGCTGCGTGAATACATATCCACGCAGGTCGTGCACCGCGACATCAAGCCGGGCAACATCCTGCTGTCGGAGGGCGGCGGGGTCAAGTTGTGTGACTTTGGCTTCGCTCGTACCACCCACTGCGGCCCCCGGGACGCGGAGGACTTGACCAGCTATGTGGTCACTCGCTGGTACCGGGCACCAGGTAGGTGTGTGTGAGAGGAGGGAGGAAGAGGTGCGGGCATGTGGGGAGGTTTAGAGGAAGGAGGGAAAGAAGGACGCGACAGCGAGGGAGGTTGAGGCCAGCAGGGGAAAATTGAGGGGGGCCGGGCCGCACTGGTGTCGGGTGAGCCGCGTGCGCGACGGGTCCTTTACAGGCATGACTGGGAGTGGGGCTGTTGGGGTAAGAGTGGTGAGGCACACAGAAGGGGGGGAGGATGCATGCCACGGGGGGTTAGGGTTTCCAAGCCACCAACTTCCCTCTTGCATCTTCCTAACTTGCAGTTGAAAAGGCCTTTTGAGATGCTGTGTATTGAAACATTTTGATTATGTTGCAGTTGCACTGCCTTGATCTGCAACAACCACCGCTGTTTCCTTTCATCCGCTGCTGACCTCATCCCTGCATACTCCAGAGGTGCTTGTGGGTGACCGCTACGGCCCCGCCTGCGATATCTGGTCACTGGGCTGCACGGTTGCAGAGCTGGCTACAGGGCAGCCTCTGTTTCCAGGTGTGTGTTGAGAGGATCAGGGGTTAGGTGTAGTCACGAAGGAATAGATAGGCGACCACCCCTAACCCACATCCCACCCATCCACCCACCCCTAAAACCCGAAAACCCACCCCGGGGAATGTCGAAATCCCCGAACCCTGTCAGCAGTGTCCTATGCCCCCCAGGGCATCACCATTGGGGTCCGTTGGCGGCCTCATATTGGTTATATCTTTTTTGATAGCATCCATGGGTTGCGCGAACTATCCGTACCTGCTGGGAATTTGGCAGTTTGGAAGCCAGGAGTGTGATCGTAATCGTATGTGGCTTAGCCACGCACAAAAGGGAAAAGGGGCCCTGAAATTGAACGTTCCCTCTTTTCGTCTTCCGCCGTTTCCATTTCCCCTACCAGCTCATTGGTTCTTTCAACACGGCCACACACAAGGTCGAACAGATCGTAATACATCAGAGCCAAAAGGCCTTAGCAGCCCGTTTGGCGCTGTGGAAAGCCCAGCGGGTTGGCAGGGTTCCCCCTTCCACGGGGGAGGACTCCCTCCACATTCCCATCAGCCCACCCGCGGCTTAACATTCCACCTTTCAGGATATTAGCAGCGGCCCTCACCACGTGGCAATCAAGAGCAACGCGTCCTCCCTTTCAGTAGTTTGTGACGCGACACACCCTTCCCTCCCCATCTGGATGCCTGCTTGGCACGCAGGCAAATCCACGGGCGAGCAGCTGTGGCGCGTCATGCGCTGCTTTGGCCCCCTGACTGCCGCCCAACTGGTCCACATGACCTGCAATCCCAGTCTCGTGCGAGTACGTGTGCCAGTGCGAGGCCGCACCCTCCGCGAGCGCTTGTTGGGCTGCGACCCGGACCTGTTCCGCCTGGTCGAGTCATGTCTGCAGCTGGACCCCAGCGACAGACCCACCGCCAGAGAGCTGCTGCAGTCACCGTACTTCTGGGACATCCCCCAGCTGCTGGCGGGAACGCCCCTGGAGCAGGTCTACAGCGGCTTGATGCAGCAGCAGGAGGAGCGCCGGCAGCGACAGCAGCACCCGAAGCAGCAGCAGAACCAACAGAACCGACAGAACCAACACTACTGGAAGGAGGAGGAGCTGCGACAGATGCAACAGATGCAAGAGCCGCACCAAAGGGAGCAGCAGCAGCAGCCGCAGCCACCGCCTATTCCTAAGCAACAACAGCAGCAGCAGAAGAGGAAGAACCTAGTGCAGCAGCAGCAGGAGAGCCGGAAGCAGGGCGACATGACGGGAATGGGAGCGACTGGGCAAGGGTCATCAGTGCCGGTCCCAGCCGCAGCAGTCGTACCTGCTGTTGCTGCACACACCTCGTCGTCGACAACCGCCGTGCGACCACACCTGGCTACGGGCTCCTTCACAAACCCGGGGGCACGTTCCGGGGCTGCGACCGGGTCAGCGAGCGGGGTGCCCAGAGCGAGCGAAGAGACAGCCCGAGACCTGGAAAGAAAGGCACGGCAGCTGAAGCAGGAGGAAGAAGGGATGCCCAGGAACGTGTTGAAGCTGCAACAGCAACAACAGCAGCTTGAGGAGGAGGGGGAGAACGATGAAATGCTTCAGGGGGAGCTTAGTACCACAAGCTCGCTGATTCCAATGACGCCTGGGGATCTTGGAGGGCGGGACGTCCAGCAAGTGGCCATGTCAACAAACGATGCTGAGGACATGGCAGCAGAGGTAGATGTGGCGGAGCTCGCAGCAGAGGCGATTGGAGGAGGAAGTCCTCAAGCCCAAAAGCTCAGCAAGAAGCAGCAGTGGAGAATGCTGCAGACGGAATCGAGAAGCGAAAGCCTGCAAGGTGTGCTGCGCGCGCTGCGTACAGTAGACACGTTGGTCCCGGAGCGTTTCCCGTCCAGTGGGTCGTTGACGGAGGAGCAGCCGGAAGAGGATACTGTACAGCCCGCAGCCGCTGTCGCCGCCGACGCCATTACACGAGATACTGCTGCTGCCGCTGCACCTATCCACCATAGATCTGAGCGGCCGGATGGTCCCCCCGCCGGCGGCGCTGAAGGGACCATCCAGCCATTCGGAGCTGCTGGTGATGCCGGCGGCGCGCTTGCTGCCTCGCCGCCTAATCCGCCGACGCCTCCGTGTCCGCCGCCGCTGCAGCAGCACCGCCGTCGGGGTAGCGATTGCAGGGACGCGGTCAATACTGCCGCCCGAGCCGCAGGCGGCGCCGCCAGCGGCGGTTTGCAGCCAGGAGCCCGGGTTATTACTTCTGGCACCACGCAAGCCGCTGCATTGACGACACAGCAACGCAGCGATGCATGCAGCGGTGCAACGATAAGTTGCATGAGGACGCCGTACGGAGTCACCCCTGTTGCACTAGCATCGTACGGCGACATCACCCTTCCGTCATCGACACTGTCACTTGCGGCTGCGGCAAACGCCGGCTCCGTGCCACCTCCGATAGATCGACAGTCATCCATTGTTTCAGCGCAATATGACATGACCGCCGCACCTGCTGCACGGCATGGTGACGATGTCGCGCCGTACTCGGCAATCAGGCCTCGCGTCGGACCTCCCGCCCCTAACCCTTGTCGTGATATCGTGGACGCGGATGCCGACGACTTGTGCAACAACCTGCCAGGCAACACCGTTGTCGGCGCCGCTACGGCCGCCGCCGCCGCCGCCGTCGCCTCGAGCTTCCGCTCCTCATGCGGTCCCCCCCTCGTAACCTCCCATTGCGGCGATGTAACGGACTTTGATCTCAGCACTGCCATATCGGTTTATCCGTACGGCTGTACAGAGGAAGACGGGATGTTGCTGCTTCATATTTCTGAGAACTTCGGTGGTGGCACCACCACGGCCAACCCCAGCTCCGTCGGTTTCAGAAGCACGAGCCTGCTTCTGGCGCAGCCGCAGGCCGCGGGCATAGAGCCGTCTTCTCTCGCCCGGGGCCAGGCCTCTCCGTCGGGCCTGGTATCGCTGTCCACTGAACCGCATGCTACTGCCGCCATGCAGCGCTTGCTACAGCCCAGTCGCAGCGCCCGCTTTCTACATCCTCCTCCTCCGCCGTCCCAGCCGCCCGCGGTGCTGATGATGTCGATGGACTCGTCGCTAAGGCCGTTGCAGCTCGCGCAGTCCTTGCTGGCAGCATCCGGGGGAAGCGGCCTGCCGCGGAGGTTGCAGTCATCACATTTGGGTTCAGCATCAGGCAGCAAAGGCCCGTACCAGGACGGCACTGCCACTGCTGTGGCTGCCGCAAAGAGGCGCAGCAGCATCGGCGGAAGCTACAGCTGCTGGGGCCCGCCACAGCCTCCGGCGGTGACAGCGACAGAGCCGAGTAACAAGAACCTGGGACGCAGCATGGTCACCAGGGGCCCCACGAACGTCTGCATGGAGATGGAGGACGCGGGGGAAGCAGCCAAGACACACTGCACTGGACCAGCCGCCGGTGCAGCAGCAGCAGCAGCAGCAGCAGGATCGTCTGCTGGAGTTTCGGCAGCTGCAAAATCATCCCATGGGCGTGTATCATCCTTGAGGAGGGCAGGGACAGGTAACGGCAGGCTGCTCGTAGCCGATGATCCTGCGGTGCTTCCCTTTAGCAGTGACGTTCAGATTCAGATTTCCTCAACCGCCGCTGCCTCCGGCGGCGGCGGCGGCGGGATGCTGTCTCGGCACAGCGGGATGCGTACCTTGAAGAGCGGACAGAGTCCCAAGATAGCTCCGGCTCCAACCGCATCGATGGCATGGGCGGCGACGCCGCCTGCAACTGCACCTGCACCTGCCTTGACGGTATCGGCGTCGTCGCCGTCAGCAGTGCCGGCGGGTCAGCATGCCAGTCGCAGCCGCTTCATGATGATGACCACTGCCCCCAGTTTGAGCCAGGGTTGGCTATCGCGCGACGCATCTGGCTCGCCACTGCCGACGACGGCACGAATTGCCAAGGCGTCGTCATTCGCCGACGCGCCCACGACGGCCGCGCCCTTACAGGTGTTAATGACGTTGTCGCCGCACGCAACGTCAGCTTCCAAATTGGAAGGCTCTGTGTCGGCGGTGGCTGCTATTGCCGATGGCCTCACGTATGGCAGCTGCTCCAACGGCGGTCCAGAGGGTTCTACTGCCACACGGCGGTATGCAAAGCGGGTGTCACGGACAGTTTCCGGGCATGATGTAGGCGCAAGTGTGGACGGTTCTGTCAACAACGCCGACTCCGCCTATGGTAGTTTCAACCAGGCGCGGAAAGGGGGTCCCTTGTTGCGATTCTTAGGTGCATTCAAGAAAGCATTTTCCTCGGCGGCGGCGACAACAGCAAAGCAATTCCGTTAGAAGGTCCTGTTGTCTTTCATCTGCTCGCATGGTCCCGCTCCGCATCGCTTCTAACCGGCGGCGTTGAGGATTCCTGTGCTGTTGTTGTAAGCTGCCATTAGTTGTAGACGAACTACCGCATGTAAGCTGTGTCCCGCGCACAAATGCGCTATTTAGAGCGGCTGGGAACGTGAATATCCAACGATATGCTTCCTACGATAAGGATATCTGTGACATGTGGCCGGGCTTAGGGTTTATTAACTAGGAAGATTAACAAATTATTGTTGGTGACGTTGCTAAAATTGGGATGCTTTGGCTGCGTCGTGGTTCTGGTGTGGATATGCCAGCAGCAGCAGCAGCAGCAGCAGCATTGTTGCCTGCTGACTGGCTTGCTGACTTCCTGGCTGGATGATGTACGTATGTATTTCTAAGCTACTTCTGTATGTTGCGTGTTTGTTTCACTAGAACAATACGTACTCCAGTAGCAAGCAAGCAAATGCTGTACCGCGCGAACATGTTTGATCACCGTCGCTTCTCATGATTAAATGGTCAATGGCCGTGAACTTTCTTATGTGACTAATTATTATTGCTGCTGCATCCAAGCTACCCCGCATGCTGTTGTGTGCGTGTCCACGTGCTCGTTGCCCGATTAACCGCATGGTGTTGTCGGCGCTCCTGTCCCGTTGCCGCTAATTGCCTCGCAAGTGCCGCAAAGCATTGGCGCGCGCGCGGCCCAGTATCCTTGCATGGAGGAAAGGGGCCCCACCAGGTGAATGGGCCTATAAAGACAAATAGTACTAACCCCCGCCAATGCCCAGAGGGGAGGGAACGGAAGACGCGCGCATTCCTCTCGATGGTAAGGTATAAGGTGAATGCATAACGGATGCATGAAGGATGCTCTAAGCACAAGGTGCTGCTTAGTGGCTTTGATGTATGATGAGTTCAAAAACCCTAAGTTATATAGTTGCTAGCTTGTGACAGAAGCAACGTATGGATGTAGGTTTGCCTTGTCGATGTTCCGTTGAGGGACCCATGAGCATTCATTCATGGAGCAAGGCAGCAAGCTTAAGGCGGTCGGCGGTTTATCGTGTTGCCTTCGGTCAGCGATAGTCTTCAATCGAGGCAACAAGGACGGATAGATCGTATGTAGGGGGGTTGCGTCCGAAGTAGACACGCGCTTGCGCTCGTGCGCGCGGCTGTGGGATAGCATTTGGATGGTGGAAAAGCAAGGGCTGGGCGGCGGGGTTGGCAGGGAGAAGCGGTTTTAGGGAGAAAAAAAGAAAATGGGAAACGGAGTTCTCGACCGCATATATATTCACCTGGCCATCCATCATGCACATTACTTTGTGCACACGCGATGGATCGTATGTATGCATTGGCAGACAGAGCTGCTGACGACGGCGCTTGCGGCGGCCCTGTTAGCCTCCTCTTCTGCCGGGCGCGTCTGGGCGTGCACCGTACTGCAATTCGTAGGTCTCGTTATCCTTTTTACGAAGCCCTACCTAACCACCTGAAGCCGCCTATCATTAACGCAGCGCAGCTATGCATTCGCTTCGACGCCACCCGCGTTCGATGGGTAGAAACGCCTACCTACATGCACTGCATTTGTTACACGTACGAGACATGTATACTATCTATATCTGTTAAGGAATTTTGAGGCGAGTAGTGATGATGAT